TAATAAACATCCACAAAGACACACAAACAGGATTTTAGAAACCAGAATGACAGCATGAGAATGAGCTCTCACTGTTTTTAAGATTTATTTATTTTTTATTACAAAGTCAGATATACAAAGAGGAGGAGAGACAGAGAGGAAGATCTTCCGTCCGATGATTCACTCCCCAAGTGAACACAACCGCTGGGGCTGAGCCAATCCAAAGCCAAGAGCCAGGAGCTTCTTCTGGGCCTCCCACCAGGTGCAGGGTCCCAAGGCTTTGGGCTGTCCTCCACTGCTTTCCCAGGCCACAAGCAGGGAGCTGGATGGGAAGTGGGGCAGCCAGGATGAGACCCGGTGACCATATGGGATCCCAGCATGCCACTGCTCCGGCCTCGAGAATGAGCTCTTAGAAACTGCACGCATGGGCCAAGAGGCGGCCATGGCCTAGCAGCTAAAGTCCTCACCTTGAACGCCCGGGATCCCATATGGGCGCCAGTTCTAATTCCGGAAGCTCCACTTCCCATCCAGCTCCCTGCTTGTGGCCTGGGAAAGCAGTCGAGGACGGCCCAAAGCCTTGGGACCCTGCACCCGTGTGGGAGACCTGGAAGAAGTTCCTGGATCCTGGCTTCAAATCAGCTTAGCATCGGCCATTGCGCTCACTTGGGAATGAATCATCGGACAGAAGATCTTCCTCTCTGTCTCTCCTCCTCTCTGTATATCTGACTTTGTAATAAGAATAAAATAAATCTTAAAAAAGAAAGAAAGAAACTACACGCATGACAACCAAAGTGAAAGGTTTTAACAGAAGCACTGAGGAAATCTCCCCCATTGGGCAACAAGGAGCCAGTGAGGCAGAATAAATGAGAAGAAATGGAAAACTGAGAGGGTTATTTCAGGAAGAACAGAGTCTGACTTACAAACACTCCCCTGAGTGATGGCTACCACGTAACCGGAGAAGGGCGAGCTGCCTCCAACCAAACCCGGAATGGATGGCGGGATTCTGGCTGGTCCCTCCGGCTGTGAGACCACCACTGCACCAGTGAGCAGCACTGACCCATATCTCCCCGCCAATGAGGGCCGAGGTGACCCCCTTTCTCAGCCTCCGTGTCAAGGAGAGTTTAAAAGGCTCCTTCCTGTCTCTTCAGCGCCCTTATTCCTCTGCAGCTCACTCCTTCACGTCTTTGTGCTGCGTGGGGAAGGGAAGCCCGTGACTGTGGTGCCTTGAAATAAAGATCCTTTTCATACATTTGGCTGCGTGATTCTTTCCCTGGCGGTCGGCGATGCTAACATTTGGCGAGCTGTGACTCTAACACTGAGAAAACGTGAAACTAGAGGAGAGCAGGTCTTGACAGCTGGCTTCCTGGATGAAGAGGCTCAGGGAGTTGGAAATGCCCCGACAGAGTGGAAGCTTTCAGAAGGCAAAACCTGAACCCTGCAAAGAATGGAGAATCCCGCGGGCATTCCACAGGCCCTGGAAGCTGCAGGACAATGGAGCAAGGTCTTCACAATTCTGAGACAATTCTAGAGCGAGCCAATCAAGTAAGAGAGTAGGAGTGAGACCTTTTTTTTTTTTTAAAGAATTCTTTTTTTTTTTAGATTTTATTTATTTATTGGAAAGTCAGATATACAGAGAGGAGGAGAGACAGAGAGGAAGACCTTCCGTCCGATGATTCACTCCCCAAGTGAGCAAAACAGCCGATGCTATGCCGATTCGAAGCCAGGATCCAGGAGCTTCTTCCAGGTCTCCCATGTGGGTGCAGGGTCGCAAGGCTTTTGGCCGTCCTTGACTGCTTTTCCAGGTCACAAGCAGGGAGCTGGATGGGAAGTGGAGCTTCCAGAATTAGAACTGGCGTCCATATGGTATCCTGGGGCGTTCAAGGTGAGGACTTGAGCTGCTAGGCCACGCCGCTGGGCTCGGAGTGAGACCTTTTTATACATGCAAAGGCTTCAATAACAGACATCTTTAAATCTTCTCTCCGTAATTGCTCACAGGGTGTGATGAAGTCAAAGTGGTGAATCAGGGCCTGGCGTGATAGCATAGTGGTTAAAGTCCTCGCCTTGAACACACCCAGGATCCCATGTGGGTGCTGGTTCTAATCCCGGCAGCTCCACTTCCCATCCAGCTCCCTGCTTGTGGCCTGGGAAAGCAGCAGAGGACGGCCCAGAGCCTTGGGACCCTGCACCCGTGTAGGAGACCTGGAGGAAGTCCCTGGCTCCTGGCTTCAGATCGGCTCAGCCCCAGCTGTTTTGCTCACTTGGGGAGTGAATCATGGGATGGAAGATCTTCCTCTCTGTCTCTCCTCCTCTTTCTATATCTGACTTTCCAATAAAAATAAATAAATCTTAAAAAAAAAAAAAGAGGTGAAACAGGAAAAGACAAGATCACACACGAAAGAGGAGTTTTAAGACGAGAGCTGTGGGAAACACGGGGACCCCGGGAAGAACAGCAGCATGAGGCCTCCAGGAGGTTTTACCTAGGGGAAAAATGGAAATGGAGGAATCCCTGTGTGACTTACAGAAAAACACTACTTACAGGAAGTTAACACTTGTATTGAAAACCTGGGGAAGAATCAGTGAGTACCCACAAAACAAACAAAACCAGAGAGCTGAAGAAAGTTTTATAACAAACACCAACTGTAGCTGATTTGGCATTTATGGCCCTGCAATTAAACTCCTGGTGGAGTGTAACCCAACTGAAACGTGCACTTAAACACAGGATCTCCAAAAGTAAATGGAAAGGGAGAATTTAAAGATCAACTTATTTTTCTCATAAAAAAATTTAAATCCATAAAGTTTTTTGCATACACTTTTGGAAGAATCCTCATTATAATATGTGTGAAGACTTGTGGCAAGTCCCTGTCTGGAGTGACATAAGAGTAGTTGATCTTTATCTTCCTAACTGGAGAGTCCAAGGATAAATCCTAAAGCAGGGGGCGGTCGTGTGACCCAGCAGGTAAGCCGTCATTGAAGCAGCTGATGTCAGACTGTCAGGGGGCGGCCGTGTGGCCCAGCAGCTAAGCACCTGTGCCTGACGTCATTGAAGCACCTGTGCCTGACGTCATTGAAGCACCTGTGTCTGACGTCAGACTGTCGGGTTCCATCTCTGGCTTTGGCGCGTGACGTCAGCTTCTGGCTAATACACATCCTGGGAGGCAGGAGGATGGCTCGGATAATGCAGCCCTGCTACCCACAGGGGAGACCTCGATTCTTGTTCCTGATTCCGGGCTTCAGGTCCCAGAGCAAAGCGAAGCTCCTGTGCGTGTCTCCAAAGTGAACCAGTGGATCTTTTCTGTTGCCTGTCGCTCCACCTCTCAGATACATACAAAAGAGAAATGGCAGCTTAAACATTATCACTTTAAAAACTGGAGGTCAACATAGAAGCAACAAAATTTAGTTTTTACTCTGAGAGAGGACAGATGGACAGGCAGGCCCCCATCTGCCAGGCACCCTCCAAATGCCACCGTGGCTGGGGCTTGCCCAGACCGGAGTGTGGCAGTGGTCGGAAGGCAGACATTGGAGTCCTCACTGCTACCCCTCCAGAGGTGGGTTAGCACCAGCTGGACTTAAGAGCTGGAGTCAGGAAGCCAAGCAGGGCATTCTGATGCAGGATGCTAACCGCTGGCTTAACACACCTGCCCAGCTTAGCACACAGCCAGTTCCTGGCTCCAGTCTGGCCCAGCCTCAGCTGCTGAGGGCCACTGGGGAGTGAATCCCCATAGGAGCTGTCTATTACTTTCTGATCTCTGTCTTTTAAATAATTAAATAAAATTGTACTAGTAACTACTCTTAAATATTTCTTGTGTTGAACCAGCCTCATGGTCTATTTTTCCCCCTGTGCCTCACTCTGTCGTCTTTAAATGTTGATGTTTTGATCTAGATGGACCAGTTGGACCAGAGAAGTTGCCATGAGTGGGAGAAGGGACTGTCCCTGCCCAATGCATCTTCGTTGTTTATTATCTACCTCAAGGTCCAGTCATTTAGAAACACAGAATAGGCTAGTCACACGATACTCATACACTTTTTAAAACGAATTGAGACACATTCTTTATATGTGACTTTTGAGTATTTATATACATCAATTTGCATCTGATCAGTTTGCACTTTTTCCAATAAGTCAAGGTTGGATAATTTAGCAGATGTTATTGCTGCAGTGATGATCTGTTCCCAGGAACATTTCTGGAAAGGAACAGAGATTGCTATCACAACAACTAGAGTTGTCCGTACCTTCTGAGGAGGGGACAGCCTCAACGGAGACTGCGGCGTTGGTGCGGGGCACTTTTCGCTGCCGGATGAGGTTTTAGCAGTTAAGGGCGCTAGGACAGAGGGAGCAGGAGATTAAGCTTTTTCCTATCCCAAATCACAGAAATCTGAGACAGTTCTAGTTGACACCAAAACTCAGTGTTTCGGGCCATCTCGTGCCCACTTCTCTACCACACACCTGGAAGGGAGCCCAGCTGATACCAGGACCCCCTGCGTGGGCTGCCTCCTCCCCTCAGAATGTTCTCCCGCATTCTACGCGTCCTGCTGCTTCTCATCCCAACTAGGTGTTTTAAACGAATTCTCCCCAGGACTCTATACTGTCACCGTGTCTCACTGTGTTTATTACATTCTGAGATTATATATTTTTAATTGGACTCACCCTATATCACAAGTCAATCTATCCTTGGTACATCATTCGCTGACGAACAATGAAATGTCTCCTCCTTCTGGAGACGTCGCACCCAAAGGCCAACTGTGTCACCCAGCTGAGCCATCGGAACTGTCACTAGAGCGGTTCCACGTTCCCCACTTCCCATCGCAGTGCTTTTAGCGACTTAAGCCCCTGCCTTACCCAGTGCTGCCTACAGGGGGCGGTGTGGCTGGAGGCCGCACTCGGCACACGCCGGCGCCCGGAGGGAAGCCAGACCCAGCGCTGGAATAAGGGGTGGGCAGAGGAGGAACCGACCGGAAGGGGCGGGCTCGCGCATGGCCCCGCCCCGCCTGGCCGGCTCTCCTCCCTGGCCCCGCCCCGCCCCCCGCCCGGGCGGCCATGGCCATTCCCGGCATCCCCTATGAGCGACGGCTTCTCATCATGGCGGACCCTAGAGATAAGGCGCTTCAGGACTACCGCAAGAAGCTGCTGGAGCACAAGGAGATCGACGGCCGTCTGAAGGAGTGTGAGTGCTCCTTTCTTTCCGCGTCCTCTCGTGCGGGGACTCTGGCCTCTGTGGCGGACAGAGCGGGTGGTTTGGCGCGAGCTGGGCGAGCCGAGCCCCGGGGATGTGAGAGGAAGGCCTCGGTCCGGGGACAAGGCGCTTTGTCATCCCGCCCTGAGCCCGGGGGGCAGCACCCCGCCGGGCGTGGACGCGGTGGCCGGGGCCCGACCTGCTGGCGCGGAGGACGTCCGCGGCTGTGGGATGGAGTGGGGAACGACCGGAGCACGGGCCGGGAGGCGGTGGGCCGAGGCCGGTGCCCGGGTCGCTGTCCCGGGACGGGGGGAGTGGACGGCCGCCGGCGCCCTAGGGGACTCGGAGTTGACCGCCAGGTCCGCAGCTGCAGGGAGCAGGGGCCCGCTGGCCCCGAGGGCCCCTCTAGCCTTTGCTCGCGCCAGGTATCCAAGTTTCCCTTACTTCTGAGCAGTTCAGAGTTCTTCACGGTGCGCTCGCTTGGAACAAGCCCAAGGGACTGCACTCAGCGCTGGAGGTCCCTGGCCCTATGGGGGTGTGTGCGTGTGCACTTGTTGACTCGTCAGAGTCAGCCCCAGTGGTCCAGGGGGCTAGGGGAAGAAAGAGCGGGGTCTGACTCACTCCCTGGGATTTGGAGCATCCCTGAAGCATGTTGCCTGAAAGGGGCAGCAGCCAACAAGGACTCCCCGTCAAGAAGAAAAACAGATACGGTGTTTTCTCTTCCACCCTTCAGTCTGTCACCTCCTGCATTCCAGTTGGCGTTACCCCTTTGGTGGTTAGATGTGAAGCTTGTTAAAGTAAAATAGAGGTGGAGGAAGCTTCCATAGAGTCAGACTGGGTGACCTGTTAAAGTTTATTGTTTCATCTTAAAATGTCCAAATTATGTGATTTCAGTAAGGGAACAATTGAAAGAACTTACCAAGCAATATGAGAAGTCTGAAAATGATCTGAAGGCCTTACAGAGTGTTGGGCAGGTAGGTGATGGGGTTGGGAGTGATGATAATTTACTTGGTTTTTAGCTGCAGGCAAAAATAATAATAATAATTTTTTTTTTTTTAGATTGTGGGTGAAGTGCTTAAGCAATTAACTGAAGAAAAATGTGAGTGGATTAACTTCCTTAGTAAAGAAAGCCAGCTCTTCCCCAGCTTCTAAATGCCTGCTATTTTAATGGCAGTAGTGCAAGCGGAGCTGGATATTTTTACTGCTGTCTTCCCTGGAGGACAGAAATGAAAGTTGATGTTGATGTGGTTCTATTTCTGTTTTTATTCTCTGTTGTTCATTTTGTCCTTGTATTTTCTTTTTTTTTGCAGTCATTGTTAAAGCTACAAATGGACCGAGATACGTTGTGGGTTGTCGTAGGCAGGTAATGCTTTAGCCTTCAGTAGTGTTGTATAAGTGACAAACGTGCATTCCTGTAGGTTACTGTATTTAATTTGTGAGGTGAGCAGGTCAGGCCTTGTGCCCACAACGCCAGGGCTCATTTGTTTAGCTGTAGCGAATTATTGTGAAAGTCGGAATTCAAACCATGAACTGGGACTTCTGCTTTCCCCGCGTTCTAATGTGTCGTGTCACCTTGGTCAGATCTACACACTTAGAAATCCAAGTATGTTGGACCTGGAAAGATCTTCCATCCACTGGTTCTCTCCCCACATGGCTGCAACAGCTGGAGCTGAACGGATGCCAAGCCAGAAACCAGGAGCTTCTTCCTGGTCTCCCACATGGGTGCAGGGCCATCCTCTGCTGCTTTCCCAGGCCAGTCAGGGCTGGATCAGAAGTGGAGCAGCTGGGACAAGAACCAGTACCCGTATGGGATTCCGACACTTGGAAGTGGAGGATTAGCCGGTTGAGCCAAAGTGCCAGCTCCTTATTTCTTGTTTAGACATTCATAAATGTTACATAAAGTCTGTATGATAGCCTTAGTTAATTTTTTATAAAGTTACTTAGATTAGGCAAATTGAAATAACTCTAAGTTTCTTTTTACAGCCATCAAAAAACAACAAATGGGAGAAAGTCATTTAGTATCACCTAAAACCAATTTATGTACTATTTTAAGAGAGAGTATTCTTAGGTAAAACATTCTTATAAATAAATTCATTGGGGTAACTTTTTCTTTATGTTTGGTTCAGGATTTTTTTAAACATGTATTTATTTATTTAAAAGGCAGAATGAAAGAGAGAGAGAGAGAAAGGCAGGCAGAGATCTTCCACCTGCTGGTTTATTCCGTAAATACTTGCCTTGGCCAGGGCTGTGCGAGGCTGCAGCCAGGAGAGTAGAATTGCATTCCGGTCGTCCTTGCAGGTGTGGGGACCAAGCATCTGGGCTACCATCTGCTCTCCCCAGGCACCATGGCAGGGAGCCAGTCAGAAAACGGAGCAGCTGGGATTTGAACCTGTGCTTGTTGTGAGATTCTGGCATTGCAGGTGGTGACCTAAGCCCACTGCGCCACGGTGCTGGCCCCAAGAGAATATTCGAAAATTAGAAAATAATAGAAATGCCTGGATATTTCCTATAGATATAAACATTATACTTTATTGGCACCAGGAACTCACTTATTGGCAATTTTTAAAAGACTTTATTTACAGTAGGGCTAGTTTGTGTTTATTTTATGTTAGTTGATATTGAGTCCTAAATTTGTAGCTTTTTCTCAAGTTCTGTGGTCAGTAATTTATGATTCTGTAACTATGTTGGCTTGCAGTTTTTTAAACTGTAGAAAAGAAGCTATTTTGAAAAGTAGCGTTCTTCATTTTCTAGGTGCGTCCACTGAGTAGTGTCCGTCCAGTGCTCCCCAAATCAGGCACAGTGCTTTAACATGTTCCACTCTGATATGTAATGTGCTTGGCGTAGTGTCTGCTGTGGAACAGAGGTGTAGGTGATGGCTGCGAGTTTGGGCATTTGGGGATTTTTGTTTCGTTTTACATCTTCCTGAGGCAAAACAGTTTCCCCTCAGTTCTACTAGATCATACGTTCTTCCCAAAAACTATTTTCTGGAAAGTAAGCCTATTGAATAAATGTTTAAAGTTTTCTGTACACGTTCCCTAAATTGTTTGCAAAGGGATTTTCTATAATGCTTCTATTTCTGTCTGTGCTAAATCAAAATACTGAACGTAGTTGCATAAAAGGGTAAATGTTTGAAAGTAAAATTCCAAAGTCTGCTGCCTCTTCAAGATTGTGGCACCACAAACTTTTCTTTTTTAATCATTTGTTTAGCGCAGAAACGCACAATCATTCTGTTAAGGGGTAGATAGAAAAAAAAAGTTTTTTCTAAAAAATTTGTCAAGTGATACATATTTGTGTGAAATTGATACTTAAATATTTATGTCCTTTCTGAAGGATAAAGATGAGTGTTTGGCTTCTCAACCTTAAGCTTTTGCGAGTTACGTTTTTGTTTTAGTATTTAGATAATAATACTTTTGTTTTGCAAAACCAGCTCGACAAAAGTAAGCTGAAGCCAGGAACAAGAGTTGCTTTGGATATGACCACACTAACTATCATGAGGTGGGTTTCTTTTTATTATTATTAAAGATTATTTTAAAAAAAAGTTTATTTTTATTTCAAAGTCAGATATACAGAGGAGGAGAGAGAGAGAGAGGAAGATCTTCCGTCTCATGATTCACTCCCCAAATGACTGTAATGGCTGGTGCTGCGCTGATCCTAAGCCAGGAGCCAAGAACTTCTTTCATGTCTCCCATATGGGTACAGGAACCCAAGGCTTTGGCTGTCCTCGACTGTTTTCGCAGGCCACAAGCAGGGAGCTGGATGGGAAGTGGGGCAGCCAGGATTAGAACCAGCGTCCATATGGAATCCCGGGCGCATGCAGGGCGAGGACTTTAACCACTAGGCCACTGTGCCAGGTTCTTAAGATGTATTTTTTTTTTTTTAAGATTTGTTTTTATTATTTTTTATTGGAAAGGCAGATATACAGAGAGGAGAGACAGAGAGGAAGATCTTCCGTCCGATGATTCACTCCCCAAGTGAGCACAACAGCCGTTGCTATGCCGATTCGAAGCCAGGAGCCTGTTCCGGGTCTCCCACGCGGGTGCAGGGTCCCAAAGCTTTGGGCCGTCCTCGACTGCTTTCCCAGGCCACAGGCAGGGAGCTGGATGGGAAGCAGGGCTGCTGGGATAGAACCGGCGCCCACACGGGATCCCGGCCATGCAAGGCGAGGACCTTAACCACTGCACAACCGCTTGGCCCATTAAGATGTATTTTTAAGGGCCCGGCGCGGTGGCGCAAGTGGTTAAGGTCCTCACCTAGCACGCCCGGGATCCCATATGGCCGCCGGTTCTAATCCCGGCAGCCCCGCTTCCCTTCCAGCTCCCTGCCTGTGGCCTGGGAAAGCAGTCGAGGACGGCCCAAAGCTTTGGGACCCTGCACCCGCGTGGGAGACCCGGAAGAGGCTCCTGGCTTCGGACCGGCATAGTATCGGCCCGTTGCGCTCACTTGGGGAGTGAAACATCGGATGGAAGATCTTCCTCTCTGTCTCTCCTCTCTGTATATCTGCCTTTCCAATGAAAAAATAATAAAAATAAATCTTTTTAAAAAAAAAAAATAAGATGTATTTTTAAGATTTATTTGAAAGGCACAGTGGCAGAAAGAGAGAAATCTCTCATTCACTGATTCACTGCCCAATTGATTGCAACATACAGGGTTAGAGCAGGTTGAATCCAGGAACCTGGAGCTCCCTGCTGGTCTCACATGAGTGACGAGGGCGTAAGTGCTTGCTCTATCTTCCTCTGCCTTGTAGGAAGCAGAGTCAGAGTCAAGCAGCAGCCGGGTGCAGAAGGCTGGTGTCCCAAGCAGCCACTGCACCTGCTGAACCACAGCATCAATCCCTGTGATTCCATCCTATTCACCTTTTGATTTCCCAGAGAGATTTCATTCCAAATACGTGCTTCCGGAAATTGCTGAATATGTTGACACTTCACCCTTGACATATTTTTGCTTAATTTAATTAGGTGCTTCAATGAACAAATCCTTTGTACTATGTATGCTGAGAAAAAAGTGTATCACTTGAAAGAAAACACATGCCTTTTCGTTGTAGGTATTTGCCCAGAGAGGTGGACCCGCTGGTTTACAACATGTCTCATGAGGACCCTGGGAATGTCTCCTACTCCGAGATTGGAGGCCTGTCGGAACAGATCCGGGAATTGAGGGAGGTGGGTGCCCTGTGCTTTGTTCTCTGAAGCTGGCAACGAACTGTGTGGACTATTAATACATTTAGTACCCTTGCTGAGGGAAGAATAATATTGAATTTCTAACTGAAAATTATTGGAGATAATTTGATTTTCAAAAATGTCTTGTTTTTTAGTATCAATGCAAGGGGATAAAAAGCTAAGAATATCTGGTGTAATCTGCTACCATCTGTGGTTTAATGATCATAAAAGGTTAGTTAGATTGCAGCCCATTTGCGTCAAGTGAGATAAGATTATTAATTTTAACTACTCTTTTTTTCTGAAAGATTTATACATTTATTTGTAATAGTTACAGAGAGAGGGAGAGGTGGTAGTTAACTAGTTCACTCCTCATATGGTGTCAAGAGCCAGGGCTGGGCCGGGCTGAGGCCAGGAGCCAGGAGCTTTATCTGGTCTCACATGGGTGGCAGGGTCGCAATGTTTGAGGCCATCTTCAGCTGCTTTTTCTAGGCCATCAGCAGGGAGCTGGGTTGGAAATGGGATGGTGGCGTTGGAGACGGTGGCTTTTCTGGCTATGCCACAATGCTGGCCTTTAACTGCTTACTCTCAAAGTTACCTGTGCCTTAAGTGTTTTATTTTCTTAAAGTTGTTGGCTGCTTGCCGTTGAAGAAAAGTACTGGCTATGGGAGTGTCCTAAAGTTGTTAGATAAGGATTGCTTCGTATTGTAGTACATGCACATGACTTAATAGTTACCTGTAAGGCAGTTCGCACTGTCTTGTTGGTTTTATGCTAAGGTAAGCTGGAAATATTTGGGAATAAGCGAGTGTTCGGAACATTTTATATCATGTGATTTAAGCCCTAAGTCAATATTTTTTATTTTTTTAGTCGATAATTCTTAAACTTCAGCACATTGATTTTTCTCTGACACTAAAAATGTTGAATCCTAGGCTCTCTCATGGTTTGGGTAAAATCGCTCAGGGAGGGGCGCAGGAATGAGCATTCTGGTGGTTATGCAATGAAGTTTTATTTGGCTGACTTGGAGGAGTGCTGCCCTAGGTCTAGAAAAGTCTGACCTGCGTTTATTGATTGGGCAGCAGAGAGGAGAGCGAGCGTTTGTGGAGTTGTGGAAACTTCTTTCTGTGATGATCTGTAGAGGATCATCCTGGGCACGGGCTGCCCAGGGTCACGCTGCCCTGATGCTGCTCACACGTCACTGTTGACGTCCATGCTGATGGTGCGCCTCACCACACACACGTGCACATGCAGGCACACACCGACACGTGTGTGTACATGCACACACCGACACACAGGTATGCACATATACCTGTGCACACACTCACACATACACATGCATGCACAGTACGCTCTTGGATCAGCAAACACTTTCGAATGTGAATTTCTCGTATTTTCGCCTCCTGCTTGTCACACCTCATGGACACAGCTATTCAGCAGTGGTTTCCAGGTTACTGGTACTGTGTATTTGTTCTCTTTTATTCCTTTAATCAGTCTTGTTTCTATTCTTCCACAACTGTTATGGCAAAATGTAAACAGATAAAGATTGGATATTGTAACTTATTTCCTGGTTTTATAATTATTTTGTTTTATATTCCCAACTGCAGACTAGTACAGATCTTTGGGACTTTTTTTCCCTTAAAAGTGTAACTCTTCACTGAGGTGTAATACAGATGCAACTCATGCACAGATTTTCAGTGTATATTTCAAGTATGCTTTAAGAAGTTACATGCCTGTGCTTTACCCGGTCACATATGTGGTTTGTTAAGATAATCAATATTTAATTTTCTTAAAAATTGAGCAATTTTAAATCTACCAAAAGAAAAACTTCTAATATAAGTGATTTTAATTTTTACATTTTGCTTGTTGATTGTGATGTACATACTTGGCTGTGGTGACACTGTGAAGTTTTGAAAATACATTAAAATCTGCTAGCCTGAAGAAACACATGCCTTCTTTTTCAGGTCATAGAATTACCTCTTACAAACCCAGAATTATTCCAGCGTGTAGGAATCATACCTCCCAAAGGGTGTTTGTTATATGGACCACCAGGTTGGTATCATTTTTACTTCACCAATACATGAATGAGGTGAGGAATTCAAAGGCGAGATGAAAATGTCAGGCAGTCAGTCCAGTGTCAGCGCGGGAGGAGAGGTGTGTGCCGTGGAGCCTCACGGCGCAGGTGTCTGCACAGGCCGTGTGCCAAGGGCAACAGTCCCCTGACCTGCAGGTATCTCGGACTCGCTCTCATGGAATCCGCGAGGTCAAAGCTGCCTTGATGCTGCTCAGATGTCACTGTGTTGACATCTGTGCTGGTGGCGCCAAGGCGTAGCTTGAGTCAGTTCTTGAGGGCATCAAAGAGGACATGGAGCCACTATGTTCTGGACTGTGGCATGCTGGCATGTTTCGGCAAGAAAACGAGGCGTGGACATTTGACACCACCATGAAGAGCCCTCGTCCTGTTGCAGTGTAAGGCGCAAGCCCTGGCTCCAATCCTTGAGTTTCCTAGTGCTGACTCGGGGGACTGTGTCTTTGTCAATTAGAAAGGAGGCCCATGTTAAGTTCCTAGCTCCTGGCATCAGGCTGGTCCAGCCCTGGCTATTGTTGGTGTTTAGGGAACAAAGCAATCTTTGTGCTTTTCAAATAAATAGTAACAATGAATATTTACTTAGACTTAAACAATGGATTTCATTTTAAAATGTGGTTAGTGGAGCAGTAAAAATAATAATCTTGTTAAATCTTTGAGTAATCATTTATGTTCTGTGTAATTCAATTGAAACTATATACTGAGTACTTCTCATTGGAAGGATGGCGGTCTTTAAGTAGAAGCATTGTGAAGTCAGTTGTGTTGCCACTGAGAGGCTGCCTTGGATAGCGTATCAGGACAGTTTGCAGCCTGGTTATCAGTTTTTGGTTATTCAGATTGGTCATTGGTTATTTGGCATACATTTTTCTAGATTAACAAAGTGAGCTTGTCCTATTAAAACAGCTGACAGCTGTGCCACTGCGTGCAATGTTGGCATCACATTTAGGCATTGTTCAAGTCCCGGCTGCTCCATTCCTATCCAGCTGGCTGCTAGTGCAGCTCAGAAAGCAGCAGAAGGTGGCCCGAACACTTGGGGCCCTGCACCCACATGGCGGACTCGAAAGAAGCTCCAGGCTCCTGGCTTCCACCTGGCTCAGCTCCAGTTGTTGTGGCCATTTGAGTAGTGACCCAGCAGATGGAAGATCTCTCCTGTGACTCTCTTTGTAAACTCTTCTTTCAACATAAATAAATGTAAAAAACCAAAACTGACAGTTTCTTTCATAAAAGGCAAATTTTGAGCTTTAAACAAAAATTAGAATTTTTGAAAGCTTGTATTTGGAACTGTCAGCTCGACAGCTTTCTAACATATTAATAGCTAAAGACTTTGCTAAAGACTTAATTATTTGGAAAGAGTTAGAGAGGGAGAGAATGAGATCTTATCTGCTAGTTCACTCCCCAGATGGTCAGTGCTGTCCCAGGCTGAAGCCAGAAAGCAGGAGCTTCATCTGCGTCTCTGAACAGGTGACAAGGATCAACATGCCTGGGCCATCCTCTGCTGTTTAACCAGGCCTTTAGCAGGGAGCTGGATCAGGGGCCGCGAGCTGGTGCCCCTACGGGATGCAGGCAGAGGCTTTACCTGGTGCATAGCAATGCTGTTCCCAGTGATTTTTTTTTTTTCTCCAAATGTTTGAGTGTAACGAAAGATGTCAATGTTTGGAAGGTGTATGGGTGTATGTAATTCACTAAAATATTAGTTACCAAATAACTAACTCTTGATACTAAAGTGTGTATACGTAAAACACCCGTTGAGTGTTCAGGATAGATCATTCGGGTTTTTGGTTTGTTTTTAAGATGTATTTATTTGAAATCACAGTTACAGAGGGAAGGGGCGATGCTGATCTTCAGCCTGCTGGTTGGCTTCCCAGGTGGCTGTAACAGGTAGCACTGTGCCAGAAGCTTCATCTTGGTCTCCCGTGCGGGTGACAAAGGCCTTAGCCCTTTTCCCGAAATGGTACCAAGGAGCTGCATTGGAACTGGGACATCTGGGACACAAACTGGTGCCCATGTGAGATGCTAGCATTGCAGCTAGCAGCTTTACCCACTGTGCCGTAACACCAGCTCCTGTCCCCCGCCCATGCTTGCCTTCTCCTCCTGTGTCGCCTACACAGGACACCTGGATGGAGTTCCTGGCTCCTGGGTTCTGCATGACCCAGCCCTAGTTGTTACAGATGTTAGGGAAGGGAACTAATGGCTGGAAGATGTCTCTTTCTGTGTGTGTGTTTGTGTATGAGACCCCTTGTCTCTGTGTGGCATTCTGAACAAATAGACCTTTTTTTTTAAGATTTATTTTATTTTTATTGGAAAGGTGATATACAGAGAGGAAGAGAGACAGAGAGGAAGGTCTTCCGTCCAATGATTCACTCCCCAAGCAGCCGCAACGGCTGGAGCTGAGCCAATCTGAAGCCAGGAGCCTCTTCTGGGTCTCCCACGCGGGTGCAGGGTCCCAAAGGTTTGGGCTGTCCTCGACTGCTATCCTGGGCCACTAGCAGGGAGCTGAATGGGAAGCAGGACTTCTGAGATGAGAACTGGCATCCATGTAGGATCCCGGGCGTGCAAGGCGAGGACCTTAACCACTGCACCATCATGCCGGGCCCCAAATAGATCTTTTTTAAAAAAAAAAGTGGGCCCGGCACAGTGGCGCAGTGGTTAAGGTCCTTACCTTGCGTGCCCGGGATCCCATATGGGCGCCGGTTCTAATCCCGGCAGCCCCGCTTCCCTTCCAGCTCCCTGCCTGTGGCCCGGGAAAGCAGTCGAGGACGGCCCAAAGCTTTGGGACCCTGCACCCGCATGGGAGACCCAGAAGAGGTTCCTGGCTTTGGATCGGCATAGCATCGGCCATCTTGCTCACTTGGGGAGTGAATCATGGGACGGAAGATCTTCCTCTCTGTATATCTGCCTTTCCAATAAAAAAAAAATAATGAAAATAAATCTAAAAAAAAAAAAGTAAAATCAGTATGTTGAAGAGGTATCTGTACTCCCATGTTCATTACAGCATCATTCACAATAGCCAAAATTTATGAAAGCAACCCAGGTGCTCACTAACAGATGAAGGGATAAAGTAAATGTGTGTGTGTGTGTGTGTGTGTGTGTGTATGTGTGTGTATGTATATGGAATAGTAGTCTGACTTAGAGATTGCCACCTGGTGCAGCTTGGGCGAATGTTATGCTGAGTCTAACAGGCTAGCCATGAAAAGACAGACAATCACGAGATGGTCATGAGGAATGTGAAAATGTTGAATGAGCAGAGGTGAGGCTAGTGAGCGGAAGATGGGAGATAGGTCAGTTGAGTTAGGTTGCAGGATTAATTGAAGGGATTTGCTGCAGAGCATGTTGATTATGATTATTAATGTAATAAGTGTTTTTTAATTGTGAAAAGTGGATTTGAAATGTTTCACTATAAAATAATGGTAAGGACAGGTATTAAGGTCATGGATGTTAATAACCAGATGTAGTAATTTCATAATAAATGTTACTATAGCATCACATTTGTCCTTAGATATACATGTATCTAATATCAAGTACTTAAATATGTGAATGGCAATTATTTGTTCATTAAAAGTAACAATTACAAGAGATGTCTTGAGTGCAATTCAAAATTTTAATATTGAGAAGAAATTCTTTGGATTTTATGTGGAAATTCTGTTTAGCATTTAGCTTTAATTTGGGAAATTTTTTCTCCAAAGGATTACATTCTTGTAATACTTTTGAAAGCTTATTTTACCTTCCATCTAAGGAGGACTTCTTCTGTTATTCCAGGCACAGGAAAGACACTCCTGGCGAGAGCTGTTGCCAGTCAGCTGGATTGTAACTTCTTAAAGGTAAAGGAAAGATTTCTTTGTAGTTGGATTAACTTTTTTCTTAATTGCCTTGTATTTACCTTAATGTCTTTCCTTTAAACAGGTTGTATCTAGTTCTATTGTAGACAAGTACATTGGTGAAAGTGCTCGTTTGATCAGAGAAATGTTTAATTATGCTAGAGACCATCAGCCGTGTATAATTTTTATGGATGAAATTGATGCTATTGGTAAGAATAACATGTTTCAAAATTTAAACTCTTTTTGGAAACTATTAGCAAAGCTTTTCATCTTGTTTCTTGCAAGATTTATGCATTTATTTATTTGAAAGACAGAGTAATAGAGCTAAAGAGGGGCAGACTAGGAGAGGGATTGTCCATGTCCTGGCTCACTCTGAATACCTGTCCCAGCCAGCCTGGCCGGGCTGACCAGGGAGCCTGGAGCCTCGTCTGGGCCTCCATGTGCTGACAGGGACATCTGCTGCTGCTTCCCAGGCACGTCAGCAGGAACTGGGTAGTAAGTGGAGTGGCAGGACTCAAATGGGCGCCCACAGTGGATGCTAGCTGTGCTGCCCCACCAGCATCCACCTTAATATTTTTGAGTTGACACTATTCCATTAGATTTTCTTAAATGATGTTTATTGTGGAAAAAACATGATGTGTATATGTGTCCAAATCTATTTTAGGTGGTCGTCGGTTTTCTGAGGGTACTTCAGCTGATAGAGAGATTCAGAGAACTTTAATGGAGGTAATGTGTGGCTTATCAAGGTCCTTATAAATGCTTATTAAATGACCTGAACATTGCATATTGGAATGGAAAAATATGTACAGTAATATATACAGACTTGGCATACATTTGAACCATTTTATCTTGTTTGCTTGTTTTGTTGGTTTTTTGGTAAGGCAGCGTAGCTCTTTAGATATTTAGATTGCGGATTGTGACTATGATCTGGTGCTGGCTCTCGTAAGACGTTTGATGTTGGCAGACGCATTAACAGATATCACTAACTGGCAGTGAGTTGGGATTATGTTTCTGCTCTGAAGGTCCTCCTTCTCTTGCTTCATTGCTGGGACCGTAAGGCAGCTAGTGTGGTTTGGCTGCAGCCAGTGAAGACTGTGTGTGCACCTGTCCCCGGTTCTGTGTTTCCCTGGTCCACATTCTTGGAAAGTGATGGCAAGATCCCAAATGTTTTCCCACTTGTGCAAATACAAAGTAGTGGAGGTGATGCAGCTCTTTGTTATTGAGTGTATTTGAAAATCACTTCTCATAAAGTATACTGATCTACTCAAGCGAGGTACAATATCATTAAATTAAAGACTCCAAGAAACTTAAAATTAAGATATTTCAAAACAACACAAATAATGATTTTATGCTCTGTCACTGGTAATATTAACTAACAAACATTTTGTCAGGCTACCTAGATTTTTTTTTTCAAGTTCTATTTATTTCTATATGAAATAATAGACATAGAGTGATCTTTTATTCTGCTGGTTCATTCCTCAAATGCTTGAGGCAGCTAGAGTTGGACCAGACTGAATCAAAGAGCTAGAACTGCACCTGGGCGCCCATGTGGGGTCATAGAAACCAGAGTTGGGCTGTCATCTGCTGCCTCCCAGGTGCAAGAGCAGAGGCAGGACTCGATCCCAGGGACTCCAGTAAGGACTGTTGGTGTCCTAAGCTGCTGCTTAAATCGCTGAACCACAGTGTCCACCTTGATTAGCTAGATTTTAAAGAATGTGTTAACTGCAGTACGATTTTTCAGGATTCATTCAAGAAAATTTTGGGGGTCAGATGAAATAATGTTGGATATCTGTATTTGTATGTGAAAAAATGTGTTGTGAGTTTATTATCAGATCTGTGGAAAAATCTTTGTGCCTAATTAACCTAACGTGGATATTATATTTGACATAAGCACTCATACATTTTTATTAGCAATAGTACTTGTTTTTTTAGTTTTTGTTCTATAAGATAATTTTATGAAAAACATCATGAGTGATGGCTTCTTGGCCTTTGGCTAATATCAAGTGTAAAAACATCATGAGTGTTACAAATCTGATCCTCCTAGTTTTATTTCACTAGGTGGAAGCTTAAGACTTACTACAACTACGTGAGGCTTTGAAAAAGTTCATGGTCAGAATAAAGCGCATCCTCTGTCTTGGAACTTTGAGTCTGGAACATACACACATTTATATAAGAGAAAGAAAAAAAATTCTATGAAATGATGCTTCTGAAGATCATGTATCAATAGAAAACACATGTTAGGATATTCATACAGGGGGTGCCTCAAAAAGTTAATGGAAAATACATGTTATGAAAAAACTAAGTATAGATTTCAAAACCAAAATAAAAACATTTCTAAGTTCTATTTTTCCACAGATTTTTTTTGAAATACCCTACTAAAGAATGTATGCTGTCTGTTACTTAAATGTTAAATATGTTAAATGTTAAAATGTTTTGTAAAATCTCTCCTCTTGATTTTTGACATTATCAGTTACTGAATCAAATGGATGGATTTGATACTCTGCATAGAGTTAAAATGATCATGGCCACAAACAGACCAGATACACTGGATCCTGCTTTGCTGCGTCCAGGAAGATTAGATAGAAAAATACGTGAGTGCAGACCCTTGACCCGTCATCCATTTCCCTTGGTGTCTGTTTCTCTTTTCCTTGAACTTGTCACACCCACTTTATTCAAAACAAACACACTATAAGATAGTTTCTTATGATTTCTCATTTTCAGATATTGATTTACCGAATGAACAAGCAAGATTAGATATATTGAAAATCCATGCAGGTCCCATTACAAAGCATGGAGAAATAGGTAAGGAAATGGTGTGTTATATGCATGTTTATAACTGGTAAGTTAAGTAGCATGCTTCTGAGTATTGCTGATGGTCTACCAAATTTAGTTGTAAATTCAGCAGATAGGATGGTTTTACATTCAGCATATATTCATTACTATAAACAGTCAGAAACTGTTAGAGTTATTAGGGACAAAGTAATGACAAAAGAAACACCTACCTTTAGAGAACTTACGTTTTTGTCAGGAAAAAAAAAATAAATAAATAAATGGAAGATAGTATATAAAATGGGCTAAGTGCTGTAGGGCAAGTAAAGGAGATGGGAAATTCTAAGGATGTGTGTGTGTGTGTGTGTGTGTGTGTGTGTGTGTGTAGATATTTGAGCATGTATATTTTTAGATGCATTTGGGAGAGGGGACAGGGAAGACTTTTCCAAGAAGATCATTTTTAGGCAATGCCCTGGAAAAGGTGAAGGAGTTAGACATGGATATTGGGAAGGGTTATTTTGTTCAAGAGGGAGCAACACAGATGTGTGCCTGGCATATTCAAAGAGCAGCAAAGAGGCCCTGGTGTCTGGAAGAGGCAGGCAAAGACAGAGTAATGGCGGCCAGAAAATGTAGGACTTCAGCGGTGTGTGTGCCCTTGGAGGATTGTGAGGAAAGACAGAATCTTACTTTTGGTTATTTTTCACTTTTTTTTTTAAGATTTATTTTTATTGGAAAGTCAGATATACAGAGAGGAGGAGAGACAGAAAGGAAGATCTTCCATCTGATGATTCACTCCCCAAGTGACTACAACGGCCGGGACTGCGACGATCTGAAGCCAGGAGAGAGGTACTTCTTTCAGGTCTCCCACGCAGGTGCAGGGTCCCAAGGCTTTGGGCCATCCTCGACTGCTTTGCCAGGCCACAGACGGAGCTGGATGGGAAGTGGAGCTGCCAGGATTAGAACCGGTGCCCATGTGGGATCCTAGCGTGTTGAATGCAAGGACCTTAACCACTAGGCCATGCCACCGGGCCCTATTTTTCACTTTTTTAAAATAAGATTTATTTATTTGAAAAGCAGAGTTACAGAGAGACAGGACTTCTGTCTTGTGATTTACTCTTGAAATGGCGACAGTGGCTGACACTGAGATAGGCCTCAGCCAGGAACGTCTTCCTGGTCTCCCGCCTGGATGCAAGAGTGCAAAGGCTCTTGGCTGTGCGATGCTGGTTTCCCAGGCTTATCAGCAGGGAGCTGGATTGGAAGAGGAGCAGTCCTGACTCAAACCAGCTCCCTGTGGAATGCTCTTTAAGTTTTTATTCTAGAAAATTAGTATTATGAATCTCTAATGCCCCATTTCTTTCTTCCCTTAGCTTCACTAAATATTTTTCTTTTTTTAATTAAAGATTGTGTATGTGTAATGCCATATTCAGAGAAGTTGCTTCTGTCAGCTTTTCTTTTTTGTGTGGTTATTAGCATATTAGTAACTTTCTGTTACTATACCACAATACCTACAGTGTGTCGTTTGCTGTCCTGCAGCAATGGACTTGGTGCATGGAGCCAGTAATCATACACATGGACTACTGACTGATGGTCAGTAACCAAAGTTTATTAGTGGCATCAGGCTTTTATAGACTGAGGGTCACATAGGCTAAGGGAGGAGGCATTGAGGAAATGACATAGTTCCCATTAACATTTCTGGAACCCATCATTGGTTTCCATATCCTTGTCTGAAAGTATCTCTTTTGCTTTGTATATTCAATGAAGTGTCCTCATTCAAATAATATCCAATCAGTTGTTCTCATACAAATGATATCGTATCAATTATTCTGCCATAGTGTGCTACTTTTATAGAGTTGTTTTTTTTTTTTTTTTCTCAAGAGTCTGGAGGTAAAACATCCAAATAGAATTCTTAATCTGGACCCTTGACAGGGGGACCCCAGAGCTGTAGAACATGGTGAGGACATGTGCCGTCTGAGATTCTGTGCTTTACAAAGCCACCAGGACTTCCTCCTGGTCAGTCCACCTCTGATCTTATCTACTTCCCGAAGGCTCCACTCTAAACCCCATAGTCAGATTAAGTTTCTGTCTGTTTACTATCATTAACATAAAACTTTGGCTGTTACATGATTTGAAGAGAAACCAGAATATAAAATTTTGGCTATTAAACTTCTGTAGGAGATAATGTAACTTTATTGTAAGTAGAAGCAAAGTCCCACCAGCTTTATTGAAGTATAATTGGGACAATTTTAAAATGGTGAAAATCTGAATGTATTTTGAAAGTTGAGTTGGTAGAACTTGCCAATGAATTGGATGTAGGGCATGAACTAAAAAGAATCAGGGGCTGACTCATGGTGACAGTTCAAGTTCTGAGTGCCCCGCTTCTGATCCAGCTCCCTGCTTATGGCCTGGGGAAGCAGTGGAGGACGGCCCAGGTCCTTGGGCCCTGCACTGCATGGCAGCCTGGAAGAAGCTCCTGGCTCCTAGGTTTGAATCAGTTCAGCTCTGGTTTGTCGTGGCCATTTGTGGGGTGAACCATTGGATGGCAGCTCTCTCCACTCTCCTCCTCCTTGTAGCTGTTCCCTCCCAGTAAAAATAAATAAGTATTTTAAAAATATAATAATTTAAAACAGAAAAAAGAGAGAAGAATCAGGGATATTGCAGATTTTTGCCTGGGCAGCTGGAAAGATGGAATTGTCATCAATAAAAAGTGAAAAAACTGAAAGATTAGGCTTCAAGAAAGGAATAGGAATTTAGCTCTGGATGCCAGCTAATTACTAAAATATTGTTGATGAATATCGTATGTTCATTGGGCATGTCTTGTGTTAGAAATAAAATGAGAAAAATACCAGTATAAAAATGGGTTTTAAAGTCCTTTGATGAAATTTCCAACAGGATGCAAAGACATGGAGAGGAAGTCAGAGTTGAGCTTAAATAATTCCAACATTAAAAAGTTGAGATAAAGACATTAAGAGTCTGAAAATACAGTGACAGAGGAAGGAATAAAACCAGTAGCTGATGGTACCCAGGAAGAAAAATATTTACACAATATTATTTAAAAGAGTGACAGAGAAATTTTCCATCCACTGGTTCACTCCCAAAAAGTGTTCATAACAGCGAGGGCTGGGCTAGGCCAGAGTCAAGAGCCAGGAATTCTATCCAGGTCTCCCATGTGGGTGGCAGGAACTCAGATACCTGAGCCATCATCCTTGGCTTCCCACGTGCCTTAGCAAGGAGCCAGATTAGAAGCAGAGCTGCTAGGCCTGGAAGCAGCATCCGTGTAGAGTGTGCCCGTGTCCCAAACCTTGGCTTAACCTGTTTCAGCACCATGCTGGCCTTGAATGGGTGTTTAAGGAAGGAACACTCCTCTTGTGTCATGCTGACGAAAGGTCAGGTGGAGCTCTGAGAGTAGGCCCTTGAGTTAAACCACAAGTCAGAAGTCATGTCTTCATAGTGTCTTTGCAGCGGTGGAGTTGAAAGCCTATTTAAATTAATTTTGGGGAAGTTGAAAGGAGAAACATTGGAATTTAGACATGTCTTCTAATGACTTCTACGGAAGAGGACAGAGAAAAAAATGGGGCTCTATCTGGAAGGAAATAGACAAGAAGATTTGGCAGGTTTTTCATGCTCCTAGGAGTGATACGGAAGTAAGAAATTCATAATGTGCTTTCCCTGAAGGGGAGCTGGCCTTGTCTGGGAGCCTGCCTTGCACTGTGGATAGGGAGGAAAGGCAGAATATACACAGGCTGATGGTGACAGTTGCATAGTTAAAATGTGGGACTGGACTAGGATAGAGGCCAGCAGAGTGGTGGTTAGGAGCTACATTCTGCTTGCCTTCTGTTTGTGTAAATAATGTTTTGTTGCAACAATCATGTTAATTCATTTATCTTTTTTCTGGCTGACTTCCAGTACATCCGCAGAGTTGAGTAGTTACAGTAGAGACCATATGTCCTGAAAAGCATAAAGCATATATTGTCTTACCCTTCACGGGAAAAATTTGGTGACCTATGAACTAGAAGTAGCTTGTATAATTTTGCAGCAGTTAGTAAAAAAATCCCTTTAGAAGTTAGTAGCTCAAAATAATTACATGTTATTGCTTTTTGCCTCTCATTCCTTCATTGCATTTTTGAGAGTTCTCAATTGGAAAGGCTGAACACAGGACCTCACTTTCTAGGTTTCCTCGACACACTGCTGAGCTGTTGCTAGTTGCTAGAGCCTGTGTCAGCCCAGGTATCCCTGACCTTGAACCGGACCAACAGCTCATCAGTGAATGTACACTTCAAGTAGAGTTTGGTACATCCTGGAATGACAGACCCTTACAGCAAGTCCACGTGTTCACAGCCTGCGATTTCGCATTTCTCTTTGTGTTCCATATCAAATCATAGTTGCTATCCCACACCTGTAGCTCTTCAGTTCATGTATGTCAGCGGGTGAGTGGAGAGATTTGTCATGGATCAACCCTTGCTCACTTGGAGCTTGCATAGAAGCCAGCTAGCTGCTGCGTGGTTTCAATGTGATGAAATTTTGCCTGAAAACTGTTTTTGAGACCTTTAATATTTATCTTGTGTGACTGAAATAAATGCTTTTGTTATAGCTGGCTTTGGATGTTACAGTTGTACTTAAAAATTGGTTATTATTTTATTGAGTCATAGCTTGACACGTGTCTGAAGTTCAGATGTGCCGAGCTGCTTGCAGTGCACAGCTGCCGCAGGTGTTGATAGCTTTCATGTGCTGGTTTAAGGTTCTTGAGATAATATGATATTTATGCCTAGAAATTATTTACCAGAAGTTTTACCTTTTGCTTGTTAATATTGTGAGATGAATTTCCAAGTTGTTTAGATCATAGAAAATGTCTGATTTTACTTATTTTTTGGACAGGGGGAGCTAATTTCCATCTTTTCTTTCTTTTCCTTTTCTAAACAGATTATGAAGCGATCGTGAAGCTTTCAGATGGCTTTAATGGAGCAGACTTGAGAAATGTTTGTACTGAAGCAGGTAGGAGTTCACAGGCTGCTGTGACTACTTACAGTGGTTTTTTAAAATTGCCTGAGACTGCTATGTCCAAAGGCAGAACCTGGACCTTGCAAGGATTTGGATGCCTCCTGTTTCTCAGAGTCTGGGGCTGGAGTGGGGCAGGGATGGATGTAAGGCAGTAAGAGAGCAGGCAAAGGAGGCAGGAAGAAGGATGCGGCACTGAGTTGGCTGCTGCAGGCAAGGGGACTTGATATTTAGAAGGTCTCTGAGAAATGTAGAGAACACCTTCCAGGATTACCCAGCTGCAAGAGAGGACACTAAACATTTATTTACCACTGCTCCTGGCTGTGTCTTCCCTGCCCCATGGCATGAGATTTAACTTTTGACTGCCTTGCAGCAGAATATGGATAGCTGGCTAAGTGGTCAGGCACTGTCCCCTGAGCTTGTGGGAAGTATTGTCTGTCACATCCTTGGCTGCCATAGAACAGCTATGGTTCTGTGAGCAGTTTTGGAAGATTGATGAAGTCCGTGATCATGCAATTTCTGTAAAATCTGATTGTACAATTTTGTGGATTGTGTGATACTGTTTTTATTTGTGGCTACAGGTGACTTTAAAGCTTTCCCTGTACTCATTTAACCATTTGTCTTCTGTATAACATCTTCAAATCTTAAAAAACGTTGTTTCTACAGTAGATTTTAGTTTGGGACTTGATAGATTGTAGATGAATTGTTCTCTTAAGCGTTAGGATCTGCTGATGACCTTGCATTTTCCCATCATGTTCAGCAGTGATTAAAGAGATTGCTTGGGTGTGGCTTTTCAATAGGAGTTACCCCAGAGGTGTGCTGTAACTTACCAGTTGGATCAAAGATCTGCAGGTCTAGAAACTGAATTCAAATCAGAGTAAATCATGTTCACATAAACAAAAATATTAAGAGGTAAACTTAAGTACCTGGGGTCATTTATGACATACTCTTTCCAGAATCTCAACCAAACCACGTTATGTTCTTATTCTTATTTTTAATGTATATAAGTAGACTTCATATTTTTTCACAATACTTATTTAGAAGCACAGGAGTTCCTCCCTAACCTGCCCCTCTCCTCCTTCCCCTTCTCCCTTTATTTTCCTCCCAGATTATTACAATGATATATTCCTTCACTTCACACTAACAAGCTTAACTTTCCAATATTTAAAGTTGTCATGACATACCAAGTGGAGGAAGGAGATGAAAGAAATAAGATTACATATAATAACAGTGAACTAAAATGAATGTGAAAATCCCACTGTTACTCATGAACATAAACTTGCTGTATAGAGCAGTTAATTCCCAGGATGCTGATCTCACGTAGAGATTGCACTTCCTGTGTGTGCTCTAGTTGTCACAGATCAGGAGGCACAGACGATGTTCGTCTTTTTGAGAGTGGCTTATTTCTCTAAGGATAATGGTTTCCATCTGGGTACATTTTGTTGCAAATGGTAAAATTTCATTCTTTTTCATGGCTGAGCAGACCATAGTTACTATCAGAGGGTTGATGAAACTAGGATTCTCACAAAAGCAATGGTATGATCTTATAGATTGATGCCATAAAATTATGTTCTGCTTTTCTTTTCCCACGTGTTTTCGAAAGTTTAGCATGTTATTCTCAGTGAAGAGCTATGACTTCCTTGTGGACTGAAGTTTTAGCTTTTTAAGCCAGATGAGTCATTCATACCTGGAGACAAACTGAACTTTTAGGTTGGTTTTCTTTCTATTAGACTTGAAATCTTGAGTACATACTTTCTTGAAATTTAAAAATACACTTGATTCTGTTATAGTTGCCTTTTCCATTCAAGTACTCACATGAAAATTATCTTAAGGACATATCTCTTTTGCTAATACACCCTAAACAGTGCAGAAGATTTATAAATATCACCTATCTAATTTAGTTGTAGTCTTTCATACAGGTTTTGAGATACCACTTTTTTTTCAAAAGTCAACTATCTTACTCAACAGATTTCTAAAATTTAGAAAGCCAAGGTGTGCCAGATTTACAGTGCAGTAGATTAACCCGCCACCTGTGATGCCAGCATCCCATGTGGTTGCTGATTCAAGTTCTGGCTGCTCCTCTTCTGAGCTAGGACCCTCCTAATGTACCTGGGAAACTAGCAGATCACTCAGGCAGGTGCCTGTGCCCCTGACACACTCTTTAAAGCCCAGGTGGAGTTCCAGGCTCCTGGCTCCAGCCTGGCTTGCCCTGACCCTTGAGACCACCTGGAGTGACCACAGGTGGATGATGTACTGCCGTCTGCCCCCGCCCCCCGCTCTTCCTCCCACTCTCCCTCTATTCTTTCCTCTTCTGTAACTCTGCCTTTCAAGTAAATGAAAAGAAAAGCTTTAAGGAGGGAAAGATAGGAAGCATCTTTGCAATTATTTCAACCCACTAATTTTCTATAAGTGAAATTGAATATAAGCAGATCCTCAATGGAAATATTAGTAGGGTTCATTTAATTAATGGATGATGATACTTAACCAGCTTTACTTGATCATGACATCAAAATTAATCTCAAGGAGCTGATGGAGCAGGCAGGGCTCAAAACAGCGCCCACCTGTGTAGGATGCTGGCTTTGCAGCAGCAGGTCTCTGCTCCACAGCTAATGGTTTTTAAGTTGTTGGAAAGACTGCTCAGAAATAAAGGCTCCTTTGCATATACTCTGTAGAATCACACTGGTGAGCTTCGACAGTGAGCACAGTTCACGTGTGATGTATATCAGTCATGTTGTCTTCCCCACAGGTATGTTTGCAATTCGTGCTGATCATGATTTCGTAGTACAGGAAGACTTCATGAAAGCAGTCAGAAAAGTGGCGGATTCGAAGAAGCTCGAGTCTAAACTGGACTACAAACCTGTGTAATTTACTGTAAGGCTTTTGATGGCTGCATGACAGGCATTGGCTTAATGTCAAAATAAAGTTAAGGAAAATAATGTGTGTATTGGCAATGATCTCATTAAAATGTATGAATAAAATATGTATGAGTAACAAATTAGTATATAATTCTGTGATTCTCAACTTTTAAGATTGGTACTGAAGAAATTTGTATGTTGTTAATGTTGCATTAATTGCAGCAGAAGTTACAAAAGACTGTTGGAGCTTTTCACATTTGCTGTGTGAACATTTTGTAGAACATTGCAGATGGTCTGGGGGTACAGGGGGCATTTCTTATGACTTATTTTATATCATTTGTTTTCTTCATCCTAAAAGTTGAATAAAATGTTTGATTCAGTTCTCCTAAATATATTCTGATCTTCTCAAAGAGGACATTTGCTGTAGTCCTTTAAACTCTTTAGTAAGTAAGCTATTTATTTGATAAGCCAGATGAACTTGTATCTAGGTAGGTTTTTGGCTTTTCCTGTAAAATAGCCCCACACGTGGTATTCATAGAACCTGTTGAATAGAACACAGCTGTGTGAGTGTGTCCTCCGAACACAAGGCCATCCTGCTGTGATGAGGCTGTGTGACAGCCGCTGGAAAGATTACCTGCACATACGTAACTTTCTGAAAATTATGATTAAAAGTAATATTTGCTAATAAATGTGATCTGGCATTCTTGGCTTATGTGAAATAACAGTTTACTTCTGAAAATGTTAAGGTTTGAACTGTATCCCCAGAAGAATCCTCCCATAAATACACCATTAAAATTTGCATATATTGTAATTACGGAAGACTAATTATTGCAGAAGCTGGTGTCTGGATAACAGAGCAGGAGTGGGAGTGGAGGGGATGTTGTTGGCGGAAATGTTTTTGAATGATTTGTTTATTTTAGTGACAGAAGGAAAGAGGATCTTGCATCCAGCACTTCACTGCCAGATTTCTCAGCAGCCCGGGAAAGGCCAGGCCAGCACAGGAGCTTTATCCCAGTCTCAGGAGGATGGTAGTGACCCAAGCACTTGGGCCATTAGCAGGGGAGCTGGACTGGGGGTAGAGTAGCTGGGACACAAACCAGCACCTACATGGTGACCTAACTCTGCCACGATGCCAGTCAGAACGTTTTAAAAGAGAAGTTTTGTTACAAATTCACAGCTGTTTCCCCTAATTTGGCAACACGAAGTACATTGGGTGGTCCCTTGAGACTCTGTAATTAAAGGTGCTATTAAAAAAGCGTTCAACTGTTAGTGTCCAACACTAAGGAACCAACAATACATGACCTGGTTAATTATATAGTCACTCTTCAAATTAAAAACTAGCACGAGATCTTACAATTTTTAAAGGTGAAGGAAGACAGTTTGCGTTCAAATAGACCAATTACGTTTATTAGTGTTGGCATACTCATGACAAAATATAAAGAATGGGAGGAAATTTTAACCAAATACCCGTGTGGTCGTTTATCCATTGCAATTTTTTGTTTGTTTTGCTCGTTTTGCCTTTGTACTTTTTGTATTGGCAGCTGATTTTTTGAAAGAATCAGTTTAGTGTATAACTCTTGAGATGTGGGTTTCTTCAGTCAAAAGCCTGAGTTTCCACATCTCTTTAAAAAACGCAGCGTCTCCCGAAGAGCAGACGGAAACCTCGCTCCTCGGAACTCGCCACTGTAAGCCAAGTTGACGGACGTGGAAATGCTGAGACTCCGTGTGACAGCAGGAACGGGGAGGGAGCAGTCAGCTCCGTTCCTCGGGGATTTTTCTTGCCATTCTTGTGGTTTTTTTGTTTTTTTTTCAAGATGGTATAAGCTGTTGCTGCTTTTGCAAGTATTCTTAGAAATTCACACTCTTGAGGGGCGTTTCATTTTCTCTGTAGCACAACATGACTTTCAACGAATTTCTCGTGTGGTTGTCCCCTCGGCCCTCCTGGATGCCCGTCCCAGCCCGCAGGGCGTTGTGGCGGGGTTCGTCCCCGACCGGGTCGGCCCCGCCGCCTTTCCCAGGTCCTTCAGCATCCCGCCCCGTCGCCGCGAGCCGGCCTCCTCCTGCCGGGGCCCGCCCCCTCTGCGCTTGCGCTCTCCCGGGGGGCGGGGCGGGGCGAGGCGGCGGCGCGCTGACACCTGGCGGCGGCGGCGGGGCGGGCCGCCGGCGAGCGTGTGCTGCCATTGGCCAGCGCGGCGTGGGCGGGCGGGGCGGGCGGAGCGAGGGCAGGCGGTTGTAGGGCTCGTGCCCGTGCCGGATCCGGGGCCGCCGGAGGGGCGCGGGAGGCTGAGGGGAGGGAGGCGGCAGCAGCATGGCGGCGGGGTGCGAGCCGCCCAGCCCTCTCCTCCGCTGTCGCCGCCGCCGTCGCCGCAGTCGCCGGGAGTCCCTGGTGTGCGCGTGTTGGTTGTAAGCTCGCCTGGCGCCGGTCGGCACTCACTTGGGCCCTCCTTCCTCGGGCCGCCCGTGCCAGCCCGAGGGTCGTGCCCGCCGGGGACTCGCCGTCCCGCCACACCCACCAGGCGGCGGCCCAGGACCATGGAGGACGTGAAACTGGAGTTCCCCTCGCTTCCCCAGTGTAAAGAAGAAGCCGAGGTACGTGTGTGTGGCGACGGCCACGCACAGGCCTCCGCTGCCGGCTCCGGCCGCCGGGCGACCCCAGGCCCGAGACGCGGCGGTCGGAGACGGGATGCCACCTGGAGAGGGGCTGGGTCTGTGAGGTGAGGGCGGCAGCGGTCCTCGGCCCCGGGGCTCGCGGAGCGGGACCGACCCCCTAACGCTGCGCCCGAGCACGCCGAGGGCGAGGTCGGCTGGGGGTCTCAGTGGAAGCGACAGCTGTGGCGTCAACGATTCGCTTTGGGCGGTGGGCGGGCACCCGGGCGGGCACCCAGGCTTGCCGCGGACCCAGGACCTGAACTTTGAAAAGTGCATCTTGGCAAAGTTCTCTCAGAAAGCTGGGACCGGCGGAATAAAATGTCGGGGGAACTGGGCTCATTTTCAAGAAGAGAACTTTTAATGAGAAGTCTTGCCCCGGGAGGAAAGTTTAGTACTGAGAGTGAAATGTTTTATGGCCCCCCGATTTCCTAGTTTGGGGTTCTTTTCTATCCCACCTGCTTCCGTAACTCTGGAACCCCGTTTCATGTGTTGCTGATTTAAATACTTTATGCTGTGGTACACTGTTAGTTTTCTGGAGGCTCACAGGACATGCAGCTCAGTTGTGCGTTAGTGCAATCAAGAAGTTAAATTTTTCTAGAGTTTTAAAGAGCTTAAAAATAATCGAAAAGCAAAATTGTGTTTTTAGGAGGTCATTTGATTTATTTCAAATACTCTATTGAATATCTCCCTTTCAGATGAACAGTTTTTGTGTGGATGACTCCCTTGCTTGGTATGGTGCCTGAGAATGACCTGTTTTAAGGGAAAAGTCGTATTTAGGCTAATTGTTAGAAAAATGAATGTGTGTGTGTGTGTGTGTGTGTGTGCATATATATATATATATATATTTTTTTTTTTAGGATACACTTACAACTCCAGTCTTTCCTGCCCTAATCTTAGGAGCTCTAGTCAAAGGTTTTTTAAGAGTTCGCTTTTTCTGTTTCATTGTGTATATGGTATGTCTTATGCCTACACAATCTGTAAATGATTAATGGAGATAGAGCTTTCTTCCTGTGTGTGACTGACGAAAACGGGTTTTCTACTGAGTGTGTGGGGACTTCTCCCTCGCCAAGATTCTCCGGACATCAGCAGGTGCCCAGGAATTTGGTTCAGTTCTGACGCTGACCAGGATTCAATTAAGATCCTACAGTTTTGTTGGCTGCGTTGCACAAGACTGCCCCCACTTGAGATGCAGACTGTGTCCTGACTGTAAATCTGGGCCCCGCTGCGCTGCTCCCCCTTGAGAAGGCCCAGGTGTCTTACTGGAGGGCCCTGGGAGCCCCAGGAAGCACATTGGCGTTTTCATTAAAGGGTGCAGAAAGATGGAGTGGCTCCAGGGGAGGTGCAGGTGCAGCGCAGGGAAGGAGCCTGACGCCCCAGCTTCAGCAACCCACAAGTTGATGAGCTCCCTGCAGGAGTGTGAAGGCCTTTGTGACAGCCGCTCTCTCAGCTCCCACCCTTCTGGATTGTGGGTCAGGCTACAGTTGAACTTGATCTTTGTGGGGTCAGCTCTGCCTTACGTGTGTGTGGCATGATATCTGCTGCAGGAGCTGCGCTTCATTTGGAATGAAGAGACATTGCTCTGGAAAAGCTTAGGCTTGTAAGAGGAAGTGGCGGACAAAAGACCAGACATGCTGCAGGGATAGAGGTGATGTTGGAAGGCTGGTGGCTGACAGTGCAGATACTGTCTCCTGGCAGTCAGTTCATGCCATATTTCATGGCATTGGGTGTTTGGGCTCCTGGTTGCTGGTAACAAAAAGCAACTCAGAGACTTTAAGCAAGAGGGTTTGGGAGTGGGATAAATCCCAAAAGGTAGTGATCTAGCTCGTCTCAGAAATTGAACTAGACTAGCTGCTGGAATGCGCCGGAACCACCTCTGCTCAAGGTTTCTCTTGGGCATTTCTAAGGTGTGCAGTTTGGCCATCAGCCGCTCTGTGGCCTTGTTTTATTTTTAATGATTTACGTATATGAAAGGCAGAGTTAAGGGGAGAGATAAGGAGGAATATATTTTTTAAAAGATTTATTTTATTTTTATTGGAAAGGCGGATATACAGAGAGGAGAGACAGAGAGGAAGATCTTCCGTCCGATGATTCACTTCCCAAGTGAGCGCAACTGCGGATCCGAAGCCGGGAACCTCTTCTGGATCTCCCACGCAGGTGCGGGTTCCCAAAGCTTTGGGCTGTCCTCGACTGCTTTCCCAGGCCACAGGCAGGGAGCTGGAAGGGAAGCGGGGCTGCTGGGATTAGAACCGGCACCCATATGGGATCCCGGGCGTGCAAGGTGAGGACCTTAACCGCTGTGCCACCGCGCCGGGCCCAAGGAGGAATATTTTTAAGATTTTATTATTGGAAAAGCAAAGAGATCTTTCATCCATCCGGGACACTTGTGAAATGGCCACAGTGATAACTGAGCCTGTCTGAGCCGGAGCTCTTCCTGCTGAGGGAGGGATACCTTTCCACAGGCTCGCTCCGCAAGTGGCTGCAAACAGCTGGGGATGCTGAGGCCAATGCCAGGTGCCCAGAGCGTCCTCTGCGTCCTCCACAAGGGCCCGGGGACTGGGGCGTCTCCGCCTCTCTCAGGCACATTGGCTGAGAGCTGGGTTGGAAGTGGAGCAGCATGGGCTTGAATTGGCACCATGTGGCTTGCCAGTTTTGTGTTCAGCAGTTTGTTACACCACAACACCAGCCCCATGTGGTCACATTTAGTGATGATCTTGCTTAGACATCTCTCTTCTGGCTCCTGTGTTTGGGCCATTTTAGATCCTGTGCCTGACCTTGGGGTTAGTCATGGTTATCCAGGAAGGGGTGACTGCAGTGAAGTGCCAGCCTGATTAAAGCAGTTCATCATTGATACTCTCCTAGCGTAATAATAGGAGCATGTCCATAGATGGAGGGCACTTTCTGGGGCAGAAACAAAACAAAAAATACTAAATCACTAAATGGATAGGATAGTTACTCAATAAGCTAATAGAAACAGTATTTTCTAATTTCCAACAAGATCTGCGAAGTGCCAAAGTGGTAGGTAATTGTTAGGGTGACCAGCTAACACTGTTAGGTCACATTCAAAAGCTAAATTATAATCCAAATCTTTAGTAAAAATGGAATTGGAGGATTTAGGAACTACATACATTCAAGTTGTGGTACCTGGATAATTCAGTCACCTTCAAAAATTTTACTTTCAAATATCTTAAAAAAAAAAAACATTTATTTTTACTTGAAAGGGAGATTTGCAGGGACGGGGACAGAAAGATCTGTCCTCCCAATAAGGAAAGCTTAGAACAGACAGGGAACAGTCAGCTTGGACTCCCACATACCTTACGAGGTGGGACTCAAAGATTAGTTACTCCTCACTAAGGTATTGAAGATTTCTCTGCACACTCCTCCTAAAGCTGTTCTGCTCCTCAGTTGTTAATACATGGCATGTTTGAGGTAAAAGCCTGTTTGGCCTATCCTAAAATTTGCATAGAGCTCAGTAGAAATCACGCTTGAATACTACACGCTGCTAAATATAACAGTGAAAATAGACACGAGACTATTATAAGGTGTATAGCAGCCGGTTATGTATAAACTGAAATTGAGATGTCAATGATGTACTCACACAATGTGGTTAAGAACTTGCAGTTTTGGCCCTGGTGGCGTGGCCGAGCAGCTCAACTCCTCGCCTTGAACGCCCCAGGGTCCCATATGGGCGCCGGTTCTTATCCCGGCAGCTCCACTTCCCATCCAGCTCCCTGCTTGTGGCCTGGGAAAGCAGTCGAGGACGGCCGAAAGCCTTGGGACCCTGCACCCGCATGGGAGACCCAGAAGAAGTTCCTGGATCCTGGTTTCGGATCGGCATAGCATTGGCCGTTGTGCTCACTTGGGGAGTGATACATTGGACAGAAGATCTTCCTCTCTGTTTCTTCTCCTCTCTGTATAGCTGACTTTCCAACAAATAAATAAATCTGAAAAAAAAAAAAATCTTTCAAATAAAAAAAATACTAATCAGCTGTTTTATCTGTTGTATGAAATAACTTGATTTTAGTTCTTGAAGTTCTAGTGTTTAAAAAATACTTTAATCCTTCGGTTTTGTCATGTAAGTTTTTGGTTGCTTGTGAAACCGATGGAATCTTCTTAAGTAGAATGTTCCTAAAGTCTAATGTTTTTAAAAATGCATTTTGTGGTGTCATGTTTTTAGTCTTTAATTGAATGACGTTTTGCATAATACAACATGCTTGATTATTGTATTTTTCTTTCTTTTTAAGGAGTGGACCTACCCTATGAGGCGGGAGATGCAGGTATGATAACCTTTTGTTCAAGCTAGACAGTATTATTATTATTATTATTATTATTATTATTATTATTATTATTAAATAACCTAAATTCACAAAGAACTTAAGAGCTGTTGGCTGATAATCTGTGGGCTGTTCATGAAGTTTTTAAAATATTAAGTATATTTTATAAATATGCAAATTTAATCTTGTATCTTGAAAGGAATAGGAAATGAGTTGTTCGTTTTTTCCTTACCTTAGAACCAGGAACACAGTAGCACATGTGTAATGAGTTACTTTCTCTTTTTTTCATCAGAAGAATTGAACACTAATGGCTTTTTAATAAGTTCAGGGAAATATTATGAACTATGTATTGTTATGCCAAAATTGTTTGTTTTTTCATAAGTTGCTGTTCCCTTGTGTAATTTATTCCTTTGGAAAAAGTCTGCATTCTGTTGCTCAGCAGAGTTGTGACTGAAAGTAAATCAGGCTTTTGAATAATTTTTTTAAAGATTTATTCATTTTTATTACAAAGATATACAAAGAGGAGGAGAGACAGAGAGAAAGATCTTCCATCCGATGATTCACTCCCCAAGTGAGCCGCAATGGCTGGTGCTGCGCCGATCCGAAGCCGGGAACCAGGAACCTCTTCTGGGTCTCTCACACGGGTGCAGGGTCCCAAGGCTTTGGGCCATCCTCAACTGCTTTCCCAGGCCACAAGCAGGGAGCTGGATGAGAAGTGGAGCTGCCGGGATTAGAACTGGCACCCATATGGGACCCTGGGGTGTTCAAGGCGAGGACTTTAGCTGCTCAGCCATGCCGCCGGGCCCATGAATAGTTAATTTTTATGTTTCATTTCCAGTTAGTGTACTTGGTTGTTCAGAAGTTGTTCAAATTAAAATGAGATTAAAATGAGTTAAAATGATAGCTGACCTTCATAGCAATTCATTTTCTTATGCATTTCTTAATGTTTGCCTGAAATTGGTAACCTCCAGTTCAAATAATGTCTTCACTACTGGTAATTTTTCTGATTCCTAAAAACTATTACGTATCTCTCAATGAAAATATACTTTAAAAAGAAGGAATGCATTGTAGAGGCATTACTTAAAGCATAAGGAATATAAAAGTGAAATTGCAACTGTTGGCAGGTCAACCTTTGATGTTGGACTTTTTACTTTGCAGTGAAAATTATTTCTGTTCATCAGGCTTATTTCCAGTTAGATTATTTATATGAAAGAGAAAGAAGAAGAGACAAAGAAATCTTGTGTGTACTGATTAACTCCGTAATGTCCGTAGTATCTGTGGCTGTGTCAGGCTTGGTCTCAGATGGGAGGCGGACATCTGAGTACTTAACCATCTTGTATTGCGTCCCAGGTGCATTGGCAGGAAGCTGAGTCCAACACTGATGCAGAATTCCATCTTTGGTATTCCCGCACAGACGTGACACCTCAAGTTTAAAAACGGTGTGCCCCGTGGGAGTTTAATCCATGTGTCACAAGGCCTGCCCCTAGGAAATAGTCCTCATCCTGTTTCTTGTGCTGTTTTTGATTTGGCTACATAAGGTCCTGTCTTGGGGCCCTACCTGTGGCATAGTACATTAAACTACTGCCTGCATTGCCAGCATTTGTGTGGGCACTGTTTCCAGTCTCACTTGTGCCACTTCTGATCCAGCAGCTCCCTGAAAGATGCCTCAAATTCTTGGGACCCTGTATCCACATGGAAGACCAGAAGAAACTCCAAGCTCCTGGCTTCGAACCAGTCTGATTCTGGTCATTGTGGCCATGTTGGGGGAATAGCATCAGATGGAAGATCTGTTAAGTCTGCCTTCCAAATAAACATAGATTTTTTAAATTGTCTTAATTCTAAGAAGAGTTTTATTTTTTGACTCTTGTTCTAGAATAGAAGTAAAATTAGTTTTGTTAACTTAATAGCAATGTAATGTACTAATTGTATCCAGCTGCTTTCAAAACGCTATTAAGTTCAAATCTCTGATTTTTGAACTATTTTTAAACCTGAGATAGAAAACATACCTGCATTTCTTTTCCCAAATGTTTGCTCACTGTGGCTATGAAATGCTCCCCAAATAAACTTTGAATCCATTTATCATAAAAGCTATGAAAACGTTTCAAATTCTGTTAATTCTATGGTATGTGTTTTAGGTAGACTTAAGTTGGTCGTGGTAAATGCTGTTTATTCCCCTCTTTTCTAGGAGATTTTACCTGGATTGTTCTTAGGCCCATATTCTTCTGCTATGAAAAGCAAGGTATGAAATTCATTAGGCTCAATGACTTTTGCCAGAGTCCAGCTCCAGCTGAGTTCGGAGCTCGGGAAGGGTGCGTGGAGTCGGCGATAAAGAAAGACACAGACACTTGTTGCGTTTTTGCTGCCTGCTTGCTTCTTGCTTGCCTGCTTGCTTTTTCAAGAAGAAGCTGTTCTTTTTATTTTCTTAGACACATCACAAACCTCTGCACAAACGTTTGATTTTTTATCTTTTACTTTAGAACTAAGACAGCATGCACAGATGTTCAGTTAATTTTTACTTCATGGTCAACCAGGTACTCTTAAAGATAATTCTGTAAGTTACTATAATCAGTTTCTTTAAAGCAAGCCATTATTCATTCTTCAGAAGTGACCACTAGGTGACAGCCAGAATTCCAAGGCCAAGGCACAGATGGTTACCTACTAATTAGTAAAACATTCCTACTACATTTTATTTTCACAACTTTATCACATAATGGGAGAAATACATCAAAAGAGAAAAAATATAAGGATCTAAGACAAAAAGTTTCAAACATTAAATCCCCCTACAACTGCAGGCTCTACAGCCGCATAAGCAATCAAACAATAATCAAAAGTATATCTCTGTGATGTTAATAGAATCATCCTATATTTCCTCTAGTTAAAAGATTATGAAAGCGGCTAAAGCAGCTACATTTTCTATGCTCTAAAGAGTTGCAAGGACAGGCTAACCTTTAAGGTCACAGTAACTATTTTTGCCATAGCAGTTTCAGCTCATACTCCCATCACTTCCATTAATTTGTAAAATTCTTGTTCAACCGTTTCCCAGAAGGCATGCTATATGTCTGGGCCCGATTTCAGGGCAATGGGTAGGCACACAATAAGGTGTCCAGAAATGGCATGGGTTTAATTGTACTCCTGTGCGCAGTTAAAGGCCCACTCACTAAGACATTATCAATAACATTAACTCTTAAGCTCACAGTAGTTGCCAAAGCCATCTCACAGGGGCAAACAATGCCTCAATAGATTACAGAATTCTTAGTGGGGTACTTGAGTGTCCGTGCAAACAGGGGGTGAGACTGTGTCAAGGTGGTCAGAGAGAAATCGCCGGGCCCTGCCAAACAGCTGGAAGCTCCCCAGGCCCTGCCAAGCAGGGAGCTGTTCTCTTCACACCTTCGTGTCATCCATACCTACTGCACGGACCCCAGCAGACTTTAAAATTTTTTATAATCCATATTTTTTCATGACATTCATTTTTAAAATAAGATTTACTAATCAACTTGCTTTCTAAAATGTTAGGCATGTTTAATGGCTAGTTATGGTTTCAAGATAATATGATACAGTTAAGCCCCCAAATAAGAAAGTTTTAATTTTTTAATGTTTTTCAGAACAGGGACTGTTTTTATTTGAAAGTGATTGACCTGGTACACGAGGGAAGGCCATTTGGGGTGCCAGGACCCTGCTGGCCATGCCACTGCTTCTTGGCACCATGTTGTGTGTTGGACTAGGGACAGGCCAGACTGAGGGTTTGTTAGAGGTACATAAAATGTTTGCCCAGAGCTTCCACAGACCAGGTTGCTGCACCCACAGGCGAGTGACAGAGCTGGGACAGGGGCCGGGACGGTCTCCTCAGGCCAGGCCACTCCACCCTCCTACCAAGAACCAAATTTGAGGGCTGACCTGGTGGGGGTTCTTGAGGAGCTTGCTGACCAAGCCATAGGACCCACCTGTGAATGGGAGAGGCTGGGCTGCAGGCTGGGCAGGTCTGCTGACTAAAGTAACAAAGTATACAATATATGTAACATTGCTGCTTTCTAGATATTTCGGATGTATAAATTAGGGCAATGCTACTGTCACCCCTTGAGTTCTAATATAAAATGTATCACAGATGTCTTATACAATACCTTGCTTATTTTGAAGTCAGTGTGTTTGGGTATCATCTCTGCATGACATAATTTGATTTGTTTTGCAGATCTTAGGACTCGTTCATCATCTCAACACTAAAAGGCTTTTTTGGTGGTGTTGAAACAGGATTAGGAGTAATCATTCATCATTTTGTTGGCCTGTAGTTGGAAATATGGGGAGTTGGTAAAAAGAAGTAGTAAGGAAAGAATAGATTGGCTGTGACTTTGTAAACAGATTTTATTCATAAATATGTTATCTTGTAGTTGCTCACATGAACAGAATGTTAAATCATCATAGATCGTAAAATGTAAATGAAAGGATTAATGCTGAATTCATTTTAGTGATTGGCATCAGTGTGAATGTAGAGCTGTGGTTGGTTATTAATCCAACTGAACTGTTTCCTTTTCCGAACTCAGGAATTAAAAAATACTTTAGCTCAAATCTGTGGTGACAAGAAAATTTGCTGCAGAAATTCAAACTTTTGAAGCCATGCTCTAACTTGACTTGCTCTAAAAGAATGCTGTAGACTGAACTGGGTAGTTTAAATAGCAGAATGTTTCCAGTTCTGTAGGCTATGAAGTCCAAGATCAAAGCGAATGCCTTGCAGACTCCTGCCTCCAGCTGTAATCTCACATGACTGAGAAGGAGCTAATCCCATGATGGAGGTTCCACCGTTTACGACCTAAACCTAGTTACTCAGTAAATGCCCAGCCTCCTCATATTATATTTTGGAGGGATAGACTTCAACATATGAATGTTGAAGCGATGCCAACAGAAGATTTAGTTCATAACATGTAAAAATTATTTTTTACTATATTATTTATTTATTTGGAAATAGAATAAGAGAGAGGGAGGGAGACAGAGAGAAAGAGCGAGTTCATCCATCCTCTGTTCATTCCAATTGAACTGCAAAGGCCAGGGTGGGGCCAGGCCAATGCAAGAAACCAGGCAATTGTTTTAGCTTGCCCAATGGGTGCAGGGGCCCAAGTAATTAGATCATCCTCTGCTGCTTTCCCCAGGCACATTAGCAGGGAGCTGGATCAGAAAGCGGAGCACCCAGGATTCGAACTGGCACGCATGGTGTACCAACAGCATGAGTTGTAACTTAACCAACTCTAGCATGGTGTTGGTCTTTTGACTTTTTATAAATTATTAGTGCTATTGTTTTGGACTATCTCACAAGTGAAAATTAAATATATAAATTTAAAAACTGAAGGAATAATAGAAGACTCGAGTATTGATCCTGATTTCCTCTGATTTGCATGTTTTATTCATGCATTTATTAATAATTACTGAACAACTTATACACATTATACACATTCAGTTATGCACATTATAAACAGTGAACAACATTGATTGCTCTCGCAGAACTCTGCTGTTAAAGTTCCATACACACTGAAACCTGTGATCACTTAGATTAAAAATTTTTTTTGGTAATTTCTAGAATTACAACGTTCAGTTGCTTTTATATATAAAGTCAAAACAACACATAATATAGGATGAGTTGCCATTTTTATATTTAAAGAGAATTTTTGAAGCAGTAAAAAGTTATTTAGATTTTGAGAATTATATAAATTCTGACTTGGAGTGGAAAAAATATATTGAGAAAGGCAAGGAGTTAGATATTTGGGCTCAGATATTGCTGTTAACCAAATCAGTGATACTGAAAGAGTAGAGGTTAACTATTTTTGCCTTAATAGATCACTATAAGTGTTATTTACTAAATATTTGCCATGTGTCCCAGGTACTGTGTCTGACTCCATACATATATTTACATTATTTTATAAAATTCTCAAATCACTGAATGAAACATGAAGTGACTGAATTACAGGTGTCAGGTTAGCAGATCTAGGATTTGTAGCTTGGGGTATATGATTCTAAGTGTGATGCTTTGAACTGTTAGAGATAATTCTTTACTGAGTAAAAATTCAATTTTAAATACTTAAGTCTTAGATGCTAATCCTGTGTATGTTCAATACTTGATTGTCATGTAGGATGATGTTTCATATTTTAAATTGTTTTCTTTTTACAGCTATCTATGCTACAGAAACATGGAATAACCCATATAATATGCATACGACAGAATATTGAAGCAAACTTTATTAAACCAAACTTTCAACAGTTATTTAGGTAAGACTTATTGTTAAGATTTAGAAAATTATTAAGGATGGCAAACCTATAAAAATGGCGCTTTATTTTATTGTGAAATTTCCTTCTGCCTGTGTTTTATGAAGATGGTTTATGTTTTATTTCCAATATTTAAATAAGTCATGCTTTGAATGCACAGTTGCTAAGGTTCAGAAGAAACCGGGTTTCTCTATTACTGTCTCCTAAATGCTCCACGCTTTCCTCTAGGCTACTACCCCCTCAAAGGATTGTTTTGCCAGAGTTATGTAACTATACAAGCACAGTCCTATTTTAGGAATTGTGTGCTGCTGTTTTTATTTTTCTTTGTTTACTTATTTACTTTGTATTCTTTGGGAGTTGCTTTATATGAGTATCTGCAAAGCTACTGTATGTACTATAAAGATTTATTTAATCAATTTCTTATTGTTGAATATTTAGATTTTTTTTCTGTACTTTTACTAATAAACTTGGAGAGCAGAGTAAGTGTGCCTGGCCATCCCATCTAGTTCATTTGTTGAGTATAATAATAAGCCAAGTTCGTAGGAGTAGAATTATTGGACCTAAGAAGGTGAGTGTCTTAGGCTTTGTAGAACTCTGCAGGTTGTCCTCCAGGGAGTTGTGGCATTTCACATGCCTGCTGGCAAGCGCGTGAGCAGGACCCTTTCCTTGGTGCTTCTCCAGGACAAAATTCCACGTCTAAGCTACAAAGATTTCGACAGTGTATCCTGAAGTGACCTGCAGAGCCTCATTGTTATGGTTTTTCTGTTGGGATAAATATAATCCTAAAGCAAATTACTTTTAGAAACTAACTTCATAATTTAACTACCCTAGTTGTATTAAGCAGGCAAATTGGATTATAAACAGGTAGGGGGGTTTAGTAGTACAGTGGTTAAGTTGGTGCCCTATGGGAGTGCCTGATTCAAGTCACAACTACTCCAGTTTCCTGCTCTGATGCTGTGTTCTCCGAGCAGCAGTAATGGCTTGCACATGGGAAACCCAGATGGACATTCAGCCTGAAACAGCTTTTGCCGTAGTGGGCATTTGAGGAGTAAATACGGAGAGAAAAGATCTCTGTTTCTGCCTTTTAAATAAAAATGGAAATAAGTTTATTCTTTTTTAAAAGATTATTACTTTTAAAAGATTTATTGATTTTTACCTTAGAGTTAGGGAGGGACAGACAGAGAGAACTTTTGTCCACTGGTTCCCTCTCTAAATGGGTTTCGTGGCCAACACTGAACTGATCAGGAGAAGGAAGCTTCCTCTGCATCTCTCACTTGGATACAGGGTCCCAAGGCCTTGGGCCGTCCTCGACTTTTTTCACAGGCAACAAGCAGGGAGCTGGGTGGGAATTGGAGCAGCCAGGATAAGAACTGCTGTTCTGTGGAATGCTGACATTCGTAGGTAGAGAATTAGCCAATTGAGCCTTCGCATTGTCCCTCGACTTTATTCTTAAAAAAATTTAAATCTGGGACCCAGTGCAGTAGCCTAATGGCTGTAGTCCTTGCCTTGCATACATTGGGATCCAATAAGGTTGCCCGTTTGTATCCTGGCTGATCCTCTTCCCTTGCAGCTTCCTGATTGTGGCCTGCTAAAGCAGTAGAGAATGGCCCAAAACCTGGGGACCCTACACCCATGTGGGAGACCAGAAAGAATCTCCTGGATCCTGGCTTCAGATCAGCTCAGCTGTGACTGTTGCAGCCATTTTGGGAGTGAGCCAGCAGATGGAAGAGCTTTCTCTGTATCTCCTATTCTCTGTAAATCTGACTTTCTAATAAAAATAAATAAATCTAAAAAAAAAAAAATATTTTCACAAAGTTGAATGCAAGTAGCATTTTTTTTTTAAATTTAGATCTTAGGGCCTGGCATGGTGGCCCACTGACTAAATTTTCGCCTTGCACATGCTGGGATCCCATATGGGTGCTGGTTCCGGTCCTGGCTGCACCACTTCCCATCCAGCTCCCTGCTTGTGGCCTGGGAAAGCAGTAGATGACAGCCCAAAGCCTTGGGACCCTGGGAGACCCAGAAGAAGCTCCTGGCTTCAGATGAGCTCCACTCCAGCCACGGCGGCCACTTAGGGCGTGAACCAGGGGACAGAAGATCTTTTTTTTCTCTGTCTCTCCTTCTCTGTAAAATCTGCCTTTTGAATAAAAATAAATCTTAAAAAAATAATAAATTTATTAAAAAATTTTTGAGTATATAATTTCTGGACAGGACTTCTTTTTTTCAGCTGATGATGATTTCAGACAATGAATGTTTGCCTCATAGTTCCTCCATCAGATGTGTTTATTAGCTGCTTTATTTTTTTTTTAAAGATTTATTTTTATTATTTTTTTCATTGGAAAGGCGGATATACAGAGAGGAAGATCTTCCGTCCCATGATTCACTCCCCAAGTGAGCGCAACGGCCGATACTATGCCGATCCGAAGCCAGGAGCCTCTTCCGGGTCTCCCGCGAGGGTCCAGGGTCCCAAGGCTTTGGGCCATCCTCGACTGCTTTCCCGGGCCACAGGCAGGGAGCTGGAAGGGAAGCGGGGCCTCTGGGATTAGAACCGGCGCCCATATGGGATCCCGGGCGTGCTCAAGGCGAGGTCCTTAATTACTGCACCACCTCGCCGGGCCCAGCTCCTTCTTTTAAACAAAGCTTCCTATGAAATGTCTTTGTAAGGTTATGGGAGGGCCCTCAGTGCTCTTCCTTTAGGGAAGCTGGTAGAAAAGAAGACTAAAGAGTACAGGTACTTTTATTTTCATTTTCTAGAACCAGTGTAATTTAGGAGCAGGTTTCTTCCTGCTTGCTTCAGAATATCAAAAATTGGGCCTGGCGCATTGGCTCAATAGCTAAATCTTTTCCTTGCACACACTAGGATCCCATATGTGCTGCTCCACTTTCCATCCAGCTCTCTGATTATGGCCTGGGAAAGCAGTAGAGGATGCCTAAGGCCTTGGTACCATGAATCTGTGTGGAAGACCCAGAAGAAGCTCCTGGCTTTGGATTAGCTTAGCTCTGGCGGTTGCAGATGTTTGGGAAGTTAACAAGTGGTTGGAAGATCTTTCTGTCTCTTTCTTTCTTTACATCTTCCTTTCCAATAAAATAACTAAATAAATCTATAAAATACAAGGAATGTTGCATGTTATTTAATAGGTCAAATGATATGCCCTCAAGCAATGTAAATTGTTTGATAGTTCTTGATAATGTCATATTCTGTTTTTACATTATTTTCCATGTTTATCATAAGAAATGTGCTGCTATTTTGTATATGAAGAGCTTCATCTGAAGGTATGCTAATTGCAAAATATTCTATTTTTAGGTATTTAGTCTTGGATATTGCAGATAATCCAGTTGAAAATATAATACGTTATTTCCCCATGGTAAGTATCATTGTTACGTAATTTAAGATTTATGATTGAATTTCCAAGTAGGTGGCCAAATAGGATAAGAACATGTTTAAACAGAAAGAAAACATGAGCCAATGTGAAGCAGAGAGGGTACATTCCCGGAAATAGGAGAGGACAGAATGACAGCAAAGGGGCACCTTGAGACTGACAGACACAGGAAAGCAGCGGACAAAATGGTGTGGTGTTACAGTGACAGATACCCCAGTGGCATTCAGCGAGCGGCAGTCTGAACTGCACCAGGAAAAAGGTGGGAAGGGGCATTCCCAAAGAACTCACGAGGTCAGTCCAGACACAGAATTGCCTTTCCTGCTGGTCTGTTTGATTTGACTAGGAGCAGAGACAGAGCAGCAGATCCCAAACCGAAGGTGCAGGAAGAGGGTAGATTTCACAGCCAAGTCTGCCCCCTGAAGCTGAGTTGGGTACCATTTTGTATAGGGAAGCAAATGCTATAGGACAGGACTGAACATGCACTGAGCTGAGAGTGAACTCATTTCTGGCTCAGTTAACTGCAATAAAATGGCATCCTGTAGGTTCCACCCAAGATAGGTCTGAGTAGCCCCAGACCTGACAGCCAGCAAATCAAGAACCCCAGGAGTGGTACTTCAGGCAACATTTTGTACATTGTAGCAAAAACATTGAGACTGCAGGGACAACAGTGAGCTGCAAATGCATTGAGCTCAGCTAGTCCCTGCTGAACTCAGTGCACTGCACTGGTCCCACAGGGAAAATACTGACTGGCTTCGTACGGGTCAAAATAGGTTTGTGTGGCCTTTAGAACTAACTGCCAGCAAGTTCTGGCAAGATCAGCACCAGCTTAGCTGGATAGGACACCTGGTATCTCCCTAATCCTAGGAACTGCTCAAAGTGAAGGTGGGAGAAAGGTTGTATAGCGAGTGATGCAGCCTCAGCACAGTATCACAGGAGGTGGAGATGTTGAGCCAGGAGCTGGGACTACAGAGATAATGGTAGAAGTCTAACATAAGAACCCAGACCTGGAACTCGCTGGAGGGAGTGTGGAACAAGTGACTGCAAACAAAGAGTTGTGCACAAACCACAATAAATAAAATCAAATTTCAGACCTATGGGTGACACAGTTTAGAAACATGCCCCAAGGAGAAGAATGTGCTAATACAATGACAAAGAGCAAAATAGGAAACAAGGGCACAATGAATATTACTAAAGATTTCCTGCAAAGGAACAAAACCCTTTGCCAACCTCAGAGTTCACTGGGGAATATATGAAGAAAATGTGGAATAAAGAATTCAAAACACTTTTTTTTAAAAGATTTATTTTTATTGCAAAGTCCGATATACATAGAGGAAGACATAGAGGAGAGACAGAGAGGAAGGTCTTCCGTCTGATTCACTCCCCAAGTGACTGCAACTGCCAGCACTGCGCCAATCCGAAGCCAGGAACCAGAAACCTCCTCCAGGTCTCCCATGCAGGTGCAGGGTCCCAAGGCTTTGGGCCATCTTTGACTGCTTTCCCAGGCCATAAGCAGGGAGCTGGATGGGAAGTGAAGCTGCTGGGATTAGAACCGGTGCCCATTTGGAATCCTGGCATGTAGAAGGCGAGGACTTTAGCTGCTAGGCCACGCCACCATGCCAGAATTCAAAACAGTTGTTATAAAACTTCTTAACAACAAGAAGCACGTAATATAGGAGTCAAGGAATTTAAGGAATACATCACACAGGAAATGAATCAAATGAAACCTGATATATCAGAAATTAAGAATACAGTGGAGCAATTGAAAAGTACAGTGGAGAGTTTCCAAAATAGAATGAAGGAGTCAGAGAAAGAATCTCAGAAGATATTTCCTGGGCATGGCGCGTGGCCTAGCAGCTAAAGTCCTCGCCTTGAACATGCTAGGATCCCATATGGGTGCCAGTTCTAATCCTGGCAGCTCCACTTCCCATCCAGCTCCCTGCTTGTGGCCTGGGAAAGCAGTTGAGGACGGTCCAAAGCCTTGGGACCCTGCACCTGCGTGGGAGCTCATGGCTTTGGATCAGTACAGCACTGGCCGTTGCACTCACTTAGGGAGTGAACCAGTGGACGGAAGACCTTCCTCTCTGTTTCTCCTCCTCTCTTTATATCTGACTTTGCAATAAAAGTAAATAAATCTTAAAAAAATGACTCTTCCAAACCTGCCCTACAACGGATACTTAAAGATGTTCTCTTGACAGAGAAGAGGAAAAACTCCTACCAAAATCAAAGGCAAATGTGAAGAACATCCCAATAAAGCAAGAGAAGACTAAATCAATGAACAACCCATTGCTAAACTGACAGGACCAAATTACCACCCATTCATATTAACCCTGAATGTAAATGGCTTAAATTCATCAAACATCATAGATTAGTAGAATGGATTCAAAAACAAAACCCATGTATTTGTTGCCTACCGGAGACGTATCTTGCCAACAAAGATCAGCAGAAACCATATCTCATGGGTTTTTATTTTTATTTTTTTTATTTCATCTCTTAAGCTTTTTCTCGTTACATTTTTCACTGACTCGTAGAGCATACAGAAGCATCAGTTTCTTTAAGAAGGTTCTTGATTTTAATTTCTTCAGTGACACATTAGTCATTCAGTAGCATGTTATTTAATTTCATGGCATTTTCAATTTCTATTTTCCTTCCTGTTGTTGATTTTTGTATTGTGCCTTTTCATTTAAGGGGATGTATAGTATCTGTAATGGAGACTGTCATATCCAGATGTGAGCATACCATGCAGTATGCATGTCTATTTCCAGATTAGTGATGGACTCCCAATGACAATAGGATGCTGAACACTCTGCTGTTGTCCATACCTGCAATCATGGAGTTATAGCTGTTTATGAAGAACTATGCTATAGTAATATAGGGGAACTCAGTGAGCGGGGAGGGAATTTGAGGAGGTAAGGGAAATCCCGGGGCCTATGAACCTGTATGATAAAATGATTACAATAATAATTTTTAAAGTAAATTTAAAAAAAAGATGTATGATTGGTCTTCTTTATTGTGGTTCTAAATTTACTACTTTTACTTAGTTATGATAAAAATTCAGGGGGTATCTTGAAGCAAATAATTCACTTGTGTTAAATTATAATGGCTGTGTTTGCAGCATTTTGGAAATTCTCAAATTATAAGACCAATAGCCTGGAAGTATTTTCAGTAGATTTCATTGTTTTACTATGTGTGATTATGCTAACACACGTGTTTTGTAATAACATATTGACTTCTGCCTTCAGACTAAAGAATTTATTGATGGGAGCTTACAAAGTGGAGGTAAATATTGTTTCCTTTGCTTAGCTAATTATTATTTGTTATAGACGATTTGTTGTAGTTAATTTTTTCGTTGGTGTTTATCTTAAATGAAGAAATGATAATTGAAGTATATATAATAGACTGCTTGCAAGGTTCCATCTCCTTTAATGTGGATTGGGCTTTTGGAAATAGTCCCATGGAGTACACATTTACAAGTGAGTTACAATGCTGGTTGAGTCACCTGCATGGGACTGCCTGGCATTCAGTCTCGGCTCAGCTTGTGATGCTGGCTGTTGGCTGATATGCATTTGCTGTAGTTCATATGTTGCTTCCTACCAGTTACTTGGGAAGCCCAGGTGGAGGTCCATGGTCCTAGTGTGACTTGATCTAATCCCAGGTGTTTGTGGAGTGAATCTGAAGATGGAAAATCAGTCTCTGTCTCTCTCTGGCTTTAACTAACAAACTAAATAACCTTACAGAACGATTTTCAAATTCTGTGCTTTAAATTTCATTCACCTGAAAGGCTGTTTTATTTACTACACAGTGAGAATAAGTTGTGAGGACTTGGAAATTAATAAATAGCCAAGTAGTATTTGATTTAAAGTTTTTAAGAAATAACTTGTTATGGTTTGCTACATGATCTTAAGATATTTCGACTTGGCAGTTTTAAAAAAAATCAAAGTAATTATTTGTTTTTCAGGAAAAGTACTTGTGCATGGAAATGCAGGGATCTCCAGAAGGTAAGAAACTGAAGATACTCTTCTTTTTTTTTTTTATTTTTAGCTAATGAGTTATATTTAAGTTTTTCTTTTTCCTAAAAGATTTTTGCCTCTTTTCAGTGCTGCGTTTGTTATTGCATACATTATGGAAACATTTGGAATGAAGTACAGGTAAGAAAGTACTCTAAAATATAGCCATAATTTTAAATTTTCATTAAAATAAAGTTGAATGGAGATGATTTTTTTAGTTGTAATATTTTCCTTTTTTGTTGTTATTTGTTTTTTGTTTACATGATTTCATGTTTGATTAGGCAAGCCCATCTATCCCATTGTTATTCTCTTAACCTGACTTATCTCTCCAGATCTGCTTAGGCTAATATTTTTATGGCTATGTGGAGCTAGTACTAACTGCTATTTTAAGAAGCTAAGTTGACATAGATGGAATAATGCATAGAAAACTACTATGGCTAGAGATTTGGCAACCTGTGGTTAAAAAAAATCTTAGGCACAAAATGATGCCTTTCCTTGTTTAAAAGGCTAACTATTGTCGCCCTCTGTAATGTTAATACACTATAATTATGATGTTGTATTTTTGGCAGATTTTTAGGTAAAAGTTCCTGCTTTAGGTAACTCTGGGAAATTTTATTAGTTCATAAAATAGTACCTTCTCAATAATTTTCTTTTTTCAGAGATGCATTTACTTATGTTCAAGAAAGGAGGTTTTGTATTAATCCTAATGTTGGATTTGTGCATCAACTTCAGGTAATTTTTTTTCTCTTTCAGGTATTCAAAAAACAACACAGTTAAAAATCTTCAGTCCAAGGTGTTTAGTCAAGTAGTTAAGACGTCAGTGAAGGAGTCCAGATGGGAGTGTCTTTCTTTACATATCTGAATATGCCTCTTAAGACATTTGACAATTGACCTAAGTGGAATTGATAGGTCAGAGCACATTTGAAGTTTGGTAGATGTTGCCTAAGTGCCTCTAAAAGGGATGAAATAATCTGAATTTATCAGGAGACAAGGAGTACTTGTTTCTTGGTGCCCTAATCTACACTAGTTGTCAGAGTATTTAATCACAGACAGATGGGGTCCTGTGTGTGAGTGTGCACGGGACCTGGGCAGGTGGGCAAGATCCCAGGCCAGTGTGCCACACTGTTGAAAGACTGGGTGCTGGGACCTCTGTGCTTATGGTGAGGGAGCTGTAGATTAGCTCAGGGAAGGAGATAGTGGGATATGTGGGAAGGAGGATCAGGTGAGGAATGACTTCCGAGGTCTTTCACCAGCCAGGCTACTGCACTTGCCAGGTAAAGGAAGGAGCTGAGACCAGGTGGTTTGGAACAGGGAAACAGGAAGACCTTGCAGAATCCTTCTACAGACCAGTGCACCTGCCCACATGGGAGACCTGAGCTGGGCTAATTGATACCGACCACTGCCAACCAGTACACATGAAATTTAAGGCTAAGGGGCTGGCCTGGCAGGACTAGAACATAGTATCCATCCATGAATGTTGGAATGGAGGGGGTCATGTTACTCTGGGCCATGACACTAACCAGCATGTGAGAACCCTTTTTGGGGGCAGATTCTATGAGAGATGTGATTACCCCTGTGGGGACTGCAGTGCACACTGGTTTGCTCAAGAGCTGGGGGTGGTGACAGGCCAAGCTAGGCATAAACATGGAACTCACTGACATTTATGAACTGGAGTTGGGAATAAGCCAGGCTGGTCCAGACTGTAATACCTGCAGGCACACCCAAGAATTGGGTGTGAGGCAGGCCAGGCCACAACATCCACCAGCACACACTTAATGCCGAGAACGGAGGGACAGACTGCTGGGTAAGAGCCTAGCACATGGCTGGCACACGAGAAATCTGGGTCTAGCAGTGGACCTGGTCAGGGAACGTGGGAAACTCCTTTGGTGGGCCGTTGCCGCTGCTGGTGCTGGGTGTTGGTCAGGCTGGGCGAGGCGGCAGCTCCACTTGTCAGCAGGTGTGTGGGTTGGCTCTGGGGGTGCAGAACAGCCAAGGCCAGGCCAAACCCTGGCACAATGGCAAACACAGGAGCTAGGATGGGGTGCTGGCTATGCCAGGCTAGGCCATCACACCTGATGATGTGTGTGAAAGCCAGAGTTGGGGGCAGGGTGGTCAAGGACTAGGCAACAGGTCCCACCAGCAAAGTTGAGACTGGCGGCTGATTGGGCTAGGAAAGGCTACAGCACCCAATGGCAAAGGCCAGGATTGGGAAAGGGCTATGCTAACTGGGTCAGAGCAACCACTGGCATGTACATTATCTGTAGCTTAGAGCAGGTTCAGTTGGGGAGCTAAGAGATCACCTGTGCTGGGCTGTGACGGGTGCAAAAGCTGGAATGGGAGTGGTGAACTGGGTTGGACATGACTGCAGCATCCCTTGGCATGGATAAGGATTTTGGGGGTGTGTCAGAGTGAGCTAGCTCTTTGCATCCCCTGAACCATGTGAGAGCTGGGTCTGGGGATGAGTCAAGCAGGGCTGGGCCGTAGTACTCAACAGTTAGAACTGGAAGGTTTGTAGGCCGGTTTGGAAAGGCCACTGTTGCTGTCTGTGAATGCCAAAACAGGAGGTGGGCCAAGTCAGGCCGGGATAAGCACCCACTGGTGTATGCAAGATCTGCCACTGGGAGGTGCCCTGAACAGAGGAGCTTGGGGAACTTGTCCATGCTGGTGAGTGCAAGAACCAAAGCTAGAGCAGCCCAGACCCGGCCCAGGTTACAGTACCTGTCACCATACATGTAGTCAGGTCTGGGGGCAGGCTAGACTGGGCCAGTTCATAATACCACTGGCAGATGTGAGAACCAGGACAGTGTGGGACAGGCTGGATTGGGCTGCAACACTAGCCACTTCACATGACGGCCAAGTTCGTGGCTTGCTGGGCTGGGCTAGGCTAGGCTGCACTGCCCACTGTGAGCTGTGAACTGGGAGCTGGAACTAGGGGCAGGTTGGCAGAACCAGGTAGCAGTATGAATACTGCTGAATACTGGTGAATACTGAGGTGGGGCAGCCCATACCAGTAGACGTGAGAACTGGGGTGGGAAGGGTGCAGCAAACCTGGTAGGGGGACTACGTGGGCTTAGGGAGGACAGGCTGGGCACAGCTATAAAGCTTATTGGCCTGCATGTGAGCTGGATTATGGGAAGAGCCAGGCTTCCCCTGTATCCACTGATGCATGCATGAGCCAGAGTAAGTGCAGGCTGATTAGGCTCTGCTGCAGCTTAAGCTGGCAAGTGCTGGGACTGGGGGCAAGTCATGTCAAGCTATACTGCAGTATCACCTGGAAAGTGCAAGAAAGTGCTGAGTGAGCCTGTTAGGGAAACTGTGGGTTCCTCTCTGATGGGCTGCAGCTCCCACCTGAGAGCATGAGAACCAGGTTTGGGGCAGGCCTGGCTGTACAGGTAGTTGCATCCACCAGCAAAGGGTGGGCTGAATAGTGGGGATGGTAGGGCTGAGCTAGGCTGTAGCACCCATTGGTGTATACTAGAGCTGGATGGGATCTGGGCAGGACTGGGGGGGCTTATTGGGAGTCACTGTGACCAGGCTGCAGTTCCTGCTATGGTGTGAGAGAGCTGAGTGTGTGTTGGGTAGAGTTAGACTTGGTCACAGCATCTGGAGACCTGGGTGGAATTGTGTTCACCTGGCCTCCACCTGGCCCAGCCCTGGCTTTTGCATACTTTTTAGGAGTGAACCAGAAGATGGATGATCTCTATCTTGCTGTCTCGAGTATTGCTTTGCTTTTCAAGTAAATAAAAACAAACTTTAAATGCTTGTTAATTTGGGTATTTAATTTGGGTATTTTACAGCAGTAGAAGATTTTAGTTTTACTGAATTCTGTTTGAAAGAGCAACAAAAAGGGTGAGACAGGTTTTGTGTGTGCTGGTTCACTGCCACAGCAGCCAGGTCTGGACCAGGTCTAAGGCAGCAGGCTGGAGCTCTATTCTGTCACTTCACAGGGATTGCTGGGGCCTAAGTAACTGCACAAGATCAGAGAGCTGAATCAGAAGCGCTTGGATCTGGGATGCAGACATCCCAAGCAGTGGCTTAAGTGGTGCACTTCAACACCAACCGCTACGGAGTTTTATCTTAGTTTATAAATCATTTTTAAATGATTTAAATCAGTTTTATTGTGTTAAGTAGGTGAAGTCAGATAATTGTAGCTGATGGTTAGTAGCAAGGGGTACCAACGACTGGCAGTACAGTGTGCAATATCCTAGAGCAAGCTACTTGCATGAATTGATTTGTGGTTGTAAGTAGTTGTGAAATTATGAGACAGATTTTAAGTTTCTATTTTTCCTATAGCCTAATTATCCAGTGTATATCATGAATATCAATAATGTCCACATTAATCAGTGTTAGAAATCCAAGAATATAAATGTATTTTTGTTAATTAAAATATTTTGTAGGAATATGAAGCCATCTACTTAGCAAAATTAACAATACAGATGATGTCACCGCTTCAGATAGAAAGATCATTATCCGTTCATTCTGGAACCACAGGTAAGGATTATTTACTTTGGGAGAAAATTAAGGAAATGAGAAAACACCATTGCTGAGTACATATTAGCACAATAAATTGTTTAGAAACTTTGATAGAACTATTAGATCAAAAGTACTAATTTTCAAAGTTAATAATCTAAGCATGCTCTCAAAATCTTTACCACATTTATGTCTTTTATTTTTGCTGTCCTGGCGCACTCGGGTGTTAATCTGCTCAGCTATTCTTTTATACTATTTTGGCCTCACAAGTAAGCAGAGTAGGTTCTGCCTGTGAGTAATGTTCCCCTGGAGATTGAGCATCACAGGTCCAGAAGTCTTTCTTTTCATGGCAGCAGAAGTACATGAACTGAAAAAGCACTGTGTGTGTTCATCCCTTAAGTTCAGCTTCAGTTATTATTGTAGCTTCTTTCCTTTGCCACCTATCACTAATCATTTTCTAAACTTAGGGGTCTTTTTTCACAATATCTCAAATTCTTTCCTCCTTTTTTAATAGTGTGCATAATTTTATTCTAGTTGAGATCCGTGGTGCTTTCTATACAAATCCTTATATATTTGGAATATTCTGTATGTGTTGACCAGACCTAGATTCATAAAAAGGTATTAATAGTGATACTTCTCCTTTATCAAGGCTCCATTACCACAGAAGTCAAATGTTTGTGTTGCCTAAAAAGCATAAAGTTGGTAGCTAAACTTCCGAAAGTTTTCACACAATCCCAGATATTCATGTTCATGACTTATACTTGGGGAGCAAAATATATCATGAGGGTTAAAAACTTACTTGGGTAATTTTTAAGGAAAATTTGCTGTAAATTCAGTTATGAAATTTTCATATTCCATGTTTGGAGTCACATCCCAGAGAGCCCATTTTTACTGTCTGTAACGTGACTTTTAGGCAGTTTGAAGAGAACACACGAAGAAGATGATGACTTTGGAAACATGCAAGTGGCGACTGCACAGAATGGCTGATGCAGGAGAACAATAGTGTGCTTGGAACAAAGGAAATAGTGACAGTAATAACAAACTGGTGAAACAAAAGGAGTTTGGTTCTGTGTTGCTTCCAGGCAAGGTCCTGCACGCTGCATTGTAAGATGTTGGACTTCTGCAGTACATGGCACTGATGGCTTTACTCCTTAAAAAATTTACAGTTTTATTATAAACCAAGAATTTTTGACTTGTAAAGAGGTATTATTGCAATAATGCACTTTTTCATACTTGAAATTCGTTTGTATGATATAGTTATTACTTTAAACAAAATGCAAGTTAGGGGGATTTGTTTATAAAATCTGGGTAATTTATAACAAAAATTTCCTAAAAATTTGCTAAAAATTCACTTTCTGTTCTATATATTACATTTTTAACATAATCTTACGGTTTAGTTGTAGCGTGGAGCCTCTTACAGAAACATTAACAAAATGCAAGAATTTGCCATTTTCTTCTTCAGTCCCTGTTATTAATAATGTTTAAATCATGAAATTAGCCAACTGTTGTTGCTTTAACGTAATCCAGTTAACTAATGCTTCCTGTTACCTTCCTAATTTGTTTATTCTACAGGAAAAAAAATGAAAGGAAGCTGTCTTGCTTTATAGTATCAGATACTTAAAGATTACAAGGATAGTGTTAGATTTTAAGTGACTTTTCCTTTGTTTTCTTGTAAAAGCCAAATGTTATATTCCTTTCAGAGTTGCCTAGCCCTTTTTCTTTGTCCAAAATGGTTCTAAAGAAAATAAACCAATGTAGCATTTTTTTTCCTAAATGAAGCCCCAAAAAAGAAGTGCCTTGTATTATTAAAAAAAGAAATTAAATCCTCACGACCTCTAAATTAGTATGTAGAAAAGCAAAAAGTTCTTTTACGTTTTTCTGTAATGTATTTTCTTTTAAAACCATAAATTAGTTTAAATTGAAAGGGGGGGGGACTTAAAGAAACCTTAGTAAATTATTTGGGACGTGGAACCATTTAATTCTTTTTATTGTCTTAATGATTCTGTGAGATTGTTCCAGTTCAGGCTTTTCCTGGAAGATGCACTTCATGGGAAAAGTGATTTGTGGGAGACCTCAATGTAGTTTAGTGTTATAATCAGTTCTTAAAAATGAATTAATCCAAACTTTCCCCCATAATTTGCATTAGCAAAGACACTTTGGATCTTTTGTTCTGTTTTTATTTATACGTATAAAAATTATTCTAAGAAAAACAATGTTTTTGCTATTTTATGTGTGAAGTGAGGAAATAGAGGAGAGTTTTTACCTTTTTCTAGTTGCTTAGTGTAGCACAACAGAACTCCTTCATGTATCATTTTTCTCAGTCCTCTCTTGAGGTGCTTCACTGATGGGAATGTTTTCATACATTCCCTGGTTACAAAGAGGTACGATGCAAAGTAACCTGTTACACCTAGTTACTTGGTTTGCATTCCTCCCTATGTTGTAATAACACAATAAAAGCTTGGGGGGAGAATGGGAATTAATCAAAGTTGCTCTATTAAAAATTCTGATTAACCCAGGTTGTTCCCTCTTCTGATTTCCCTTCTATTTCATCTCCCTGAAACGTTGTTGACCTCATTGTGGTCCAGTGTCCAGTTGTATGAACAGGCCATTTGTGTTGTAGTTTTCGTGGAGTAGATGCGTTGGGTATTCCAATAACCCAGTTGGTAAAGTACTAGGGAACACAACTTTCCTGTATATAATTACCTGTTGGATAGACCAGCAGACATTTCTCTCATGATCTAATAACTGATGATGCTTCATATTACTAAATTAAAATTTTAGAAATTTTAAGTTTTGGAAATGAGGCAGTTAGCAGAGATTTGTTTTTATTAGTTTCAGAGATATATATGTCTTTTCTGGTAGTCTGGCCAAAAACAGAGAGTTCCGTTTTTTTAAATTATAGCTGGTTATTTCCCATATTCTATGACCCTTCTAATTTTTATATTGCCACTGAAGTGCCTGCCCAGCACTGTATATTAGACAGTCTGTCACAGTGGAAGGTTTAGTCTTTCCTCATATACACTGCAAACTTTTCCTTTGACGTGTTTATTCACCTAAGCTCTTCCTGTACCATTTGTTGTTTTATTTCATTTCTGTAATTGCTGTATTTCCACTGATATTTTCCAAGCTAAATTTAACCCAGGCTTATCCAATCATGATTTGTTTTCGAATAATGTGTGAGTGAACATTTAACATAAAACAATTTGGCCACATCAAAACTATATTACTGTTCATTTCCAACATATAAAACCTAAACATTGAAAATATTCAAAACAGAATGGCAGTCTTGCCATCAAATTTCAGTTAATTGGTTCATGTTGATTTTTTATTGGATGTTTAAGCAGCAGTTACCTTTGTTCTGTGATGGAAATGCTAAACCATGATGGCTTTTGCTATCAACTTTCAACCACTTAACTCTTAGAGCAGAACTTTCATTTTGAAAGAATTTTGGCTTCATCTGAATTTACAGGTCTCATCAGAAAATATTAAGCATGTCCTTGAGAATATATATATATAAAGTTCCTAATTTCTTATTACCATAGCAATTCAAGTCAATTAGAAGTATTTAACTGCAATCTTGAATTATAAAGTTGAAATGTATATATCAGGCTCTCAACTTGATGTAAAGTAAATGAGCAGTTACCTGGCGGGTTTTCTTTCTTTTAGTTTCCACAGTCCCATAACATAGCTTCCTTTCAATATTTATCTTTCTCTATTCAAAAATGTTTCAATCAGGAAGGAAAAGATAGGAAACAGCTGAGGATTAACCTTTTTTTTTTAATTATTGGAAAAATAAGTTTTCTGGGGGTCTTTGAAGGCTGGATTTTTTTTTTTTTTGTCTTTTACATCTGTGGCAGCTAAAAAATAAATCACTCGAAATATTCAGGTTTACATGTTAGCTCTCTCACAGGGAGCTGCCATACCTCACGGTTCAAAGTGTATTCTATACAGCAGTAACATACTGACATGTAATTGCAATTTACTATGCAGCAAAAATGATTCAAGAAGAAAATAACCTGCAGTGTCTATTTATCTTTGTATAGGCAATTGCTTAAGTTACTCTGCTTTTAATATTTGTACTTGGGAAAAGATGCTTATGTATGTCTAGTAATGTCACAGTGCAGATGCTGCTAGCCTAGGCACAAAGTATTAAAAATTATTTTGTGAAGATTGGTGGTTGTATTAAACTGTTGTGCCATTTTACCTCAAAAAAAAAAAAAAAAACCTGCAAAGCTCACTCATACTGCTTATGCCTCAGTACTTTTCTTAGATTGATTGTCACCTGCTGGGTAAGTATAGAATAAATGAACACCGGGTATTTGAATCATTTTCAGAGTGTCCTCCAAATACAGCGTGCTGAGATTATAGTCAGTAAGCCATGCAAGCTCCAAATTCCAGCAGAGGGATGCTTTTAAAGAGAGCTGAGCAGGTCTGCAGTTGAGAGAGACTTTGTGGCTGAAGGACACATTATCCAGACAGCTTCCAACTTGTTTAAAAAGGCAAAATATGGTTGACTGATAAGCTGTTGATCAAACAATGCAACCAGATTTCAGAGAGATTACAACATATCTTAAACATCTTATGTCAATGAAATAGATGAAGCATATGGGACACAATAAAAGATGTCAGTTCATTGCACCTTAAGTAAACTAGCAAGGGTAAAGTAGCTGGTATTTTCAGTGTTTGATGCAGCTTTTTTCATATTCAAGCTTGCAGTATGGCTCTAAAAAGTCATAAACCTACTTTGGTTAACCAAAGCTAAATAAAAATTAGTATTCTTCCTCTAGGAAGACACAATTTTATGTTACTTTATCTAGTAGCTTTACAGAGGCAATCTAAGACCTTAAACCTTAACACTATTGAAAGGGATTAACTGAAATATCAACACTGTAGATTTTTTACTTTATATGGTTCAATGTAAGTAATGTAATAAAGCATTGAATCTTGCCTTTTATTAGGATCCTCTGTTTTATTTGATGCTAGTTCACTCCCCAAATAACCACAGCAGCCAGGGCTGCACTGGGGTCAAAGTCAGAAACACAGTCCAATCAGTGTTCCAGAGCGTGGCAGGGGCGCAGGGACTTGGGCATCCTCCTCTGCCTCCCAGGTGACGTCAGCAGGAGGTCAGATTGAAAGTGAAATAAGCTCGAACTCAAAATCAGGCACTGCTCTTATGCAGTCACTAACCACAATTCCAGCGTCCTGGATTTATTTTAAACAAGCTTTTGTTTACCAGGATTTATTGTCATCTGAAAAGACAGGACAAGTTTGTTGCTTTCGCTAGAAACGTGTCAAATGGCCTGTCCATTAGCAGATCAGTGCGCCCTCTATGGGTGAAGCCAGTTTCTGAGACTGCACACAGGGAGCTGCAAAACCCAGTGGTTTTCACTTTCCAAGTTCATCTTAAAAGACACAAAACCAAAATTTTAAGGCTAGTTGTTGAATTGAATATTCAAGAAGCAGACAGGATTTTCACAAAATACCATCAGATGAACAGATTTAATGGACATGGAATGCAGAAGATCAGAATAATTAAGTACAGAATTCTTCAACTTGGAAGAAATAATTTAAATAAAATTAAAACAGGATAATGAGCAGGATTGCAGCACACAAAAAATTAGAGTAACATCCACCAGTATCTTAAGGATGTGGCAAATACAATGCTATACATTTTGAAATATTCCACTCAATTGTAAATATTTTTGATAATCTTAGAAGACAGGTTTCAGGTATAAGGTTATTTCTAACACATGCCAAGATTTGCTAAGTTATTGAACCTCAAGTGCCCCACTATATTCTGAATTATCTGTAATAATTACATTTCACAGAATGGTACCTTGAGTACATAGAATATAAACTTTTAGTACAACATTTAAGTTATTTTAAAAGGCCAGTCAGATTTCAGTGTTGTTGCCAGTATGTGGACCAAGAAATATTGGATGTATTACAGGTATAACTAAGTTATCTAACTTCAAGTAATTAATATGTGGGAAATTACATAACCCCAAATACACTTAGATTATACTTGTTTCTCTGAAACAAAACTTTATGACTTTGTGTATGTTCTATATACATATAAATTCTTTTAATTTCAGTCTGCTTCCTGGTCTCCCACGAGAGTGGAGGGAAGCAAGTAGTTGGATGTCTTTTCCCATCTTCCCAGCTGCACTGTCAGAAAACGAGACTGGAAGTGGAGCATTCCAGTCTGGCTTCCTGAGCAGCAGCCTAGCCCAGTGCAGCACAGCACTGGCCAGCCCCGACACAAGCTTTTTTGAAAATGAGCAGTACAGATAACAGACATTTAACTTATTATCATATTGACTAAGAAATGAAGCCAGACTTTAGAAAAATACAATGCAAGAAAAGATTCAAGTTAAAAATATATTCTTTTGGTTAAAAATCATCCCCTTTGTAATGTTCATTTGTAATCTAAACTCAGTATGCCCACAAGCCCCAAGTAATGCTCTAAATGTCATTATACTTGTATTAAGATCCTGTTTCAGTCCCGTGTTTGTGGAGGTCATTGGGTTGCAGCAACAACGTTTTCTCTCTGAAGAGTACAGCCTCACAACATTTTTACTTCAGAAACCTCCGATACATGTAGTTCTCTTCAGATACTGCATATCCAAACTTCTTATAGAAACCAACATTTTGTGGTAGACATTCAAGGGTAATCTTATAACAGTTTAATTTCTTGCTTAGCAAAGTTAGGGTTGATAATAACCTGAAATTTAAAAGGGAGTGGAAGTGGAAAAATAGCACTTATTATATTTTATTATCAACATTAATAATATGCAACTTCAATCTTTATCAGAAATACTTTTTAGATCATAGTTGGTAAAGACTTAAATCAGTAGAACGTTTTTATTTAGTTTCAAATATACTTAACCCAGTAATTGAACTCAGCAATATTACAACTAGTAATCACCCTAAATCCTTTTTGAAAAGTAGGTTGATATTAACATTAGGCATTGTCAACCTTTCTGAAAATATTGCCAGGATTATTCTATAAGAGGTCTTCTACATGCATTGAGATACCTGGGAGTAAGTAGGCAACACTCCCCTATTGCCATATTGTCAATTTTGAATTTCAGTATTTGTGAAAGTACCAATCCAATGTTGGTCTGAGTACACAACAGCAAAGATGTATACCTCTTTACAGATTCTTCAAAGAGTCCAAAGTTAATGAAAATTCACATTATCTTTTAATTCTAGTCATGTATTTTCATTTTATTTGAAAAGCAGAGAGAGGTGCTCTGCTCTTGCTGTTTCATCCCCCAGGTGACTGGCCATGGCCAAAGCCAGCAGCTGAGACTGTCGCCTGTGGGGAGCCCTAGGGACCACCACTGCTGCCTCCTACTGTGCATGCTAGCAGCAATCAAAAGCAGCTGGGACTGTTGATTCGATTTGTACACAACTTTTTGAAGCCCCTTTGTACAGGAAGAGTGTTTTAAAATATATTTCTAACACAAGCCTGATGTCACAGAATATTCTCTACTAGGTAAACATTTCCTTTGATAAATGGGCAAATCACCTGACTCACCCAAAACTCCTTTCCTGCTTAAAATGAGAATACTTCTGTTAAAACATAAAAGATGGTAGTGTTGATAAACAAGTATGTAAGTTTCAAACTATGAGGTAACAGTAGTATAATACTTTGCTTTTCACTAAATTCAGTCGACTGTACAGCAAGAAGGGATTCCATTTCAACAAGTTTGTTGACAAGCAACTCAAAGAGCACTTGTCCAGGTTCCCTGCTTACTTACAGTTTGCCGAGCTGCTTCCCCCTGCACTCGTCACTGACCACGACATCTTCCACTCTTCCTCTCTGGAAACAGTTACAGTCAGAAAAGCACTAGAGCATCTGTTCTTAGCTAACACATGGACACAAACTTCACAGAAACCAAAAATGCAAAACATAATTTCACCCCCCCAATCTAAGATTGCACATTATCTAACACCGAATAATGGACATTCAAAGACAATTTTGTGTGAGAGAGAAAAAGACCTGTGTTTTCTACTCAAACATTAATGTGAGCACATACCTTAGCACAGGAATGGATGAATTTATGTTCTATTATCAGGGTTGCCGTAGCAACAATCTGTCCTAGTGTCACATCTTCTACAACTGTAACATAATAATCCCCAGATTTCTTCATATGCTCAAAAGATTCTGTAGAAGTTGGAAAACAAAATGTTATAAGTAGTCAATTCTATAAGGTCTCAGAAAAATACTAGGATTGGTTGGCTTAATTATTGAATAAGGCTATTTTACAATAGTGATTTACTTTAAAAAATTTTTTTTTAAATTTTTATTGGAAAGGTAGATTTACAGAGAGAGGGACCAAGACAAAGAGCTTCCATCCGCCAGTTCATTCCCCAAGTGGCTGCAATGGCCAGAACTGAGCTAATTTGAAGCCAGGAGCCAAGAGCTGCTTCTGAGTCTCCCACACAGGAATAAGGTCTCAAGGCCTTAGGCTGTCCTCTACTGCTTTCCCAGGCCACAAGCAGGGAGCTGGATGGGAAGTGGAGCATCTAGGATACAAACTGGCAACCTTATGGGATCCTGGTATGTGCAAGGCAAGGATTTATCCAGTGAGGCAATGTGCTGGGCCCTACTTTATATTTCTAAAGAATTGCATTAAAGATGACCAAGTAACTAGAACATCAACAATCAACACCAATTAGATTGAGAAGCACTCGGTGGCCAGCCGGTGGCCAGCGCTGGAGGTATAGAGGGTATAGTAGGATACTGGCTGCGGTGCACTGGTTCCAGTTCAGCCACTCCACTTCCCATCCAGCTCTTTGCATACAAGCGGGAGAAGTGGAAGAAGCTCCTGGCTTTGGATCGGCTTAGTTCCAGCAGTTGCAGCCATCTGTGGAAGAGTGAACCAGGGGATGGAAGACATCTCTCTACATCTCCCTGCAACTCTTCCTTTTAAATAAATAAAAATTAAATCTTAGAAAACACTGCGATAAGAGCATGTGCTGTTACATTTTTATTTGGTGAATAACTTACCCACATGGAAGTAAATACTACATTAAAAGAAATCTCTAAAGCTCCTCCTAGGGCTTATGTTATGATAATTATCTAAATTTAGGTATTTTGTTAAAGTGATTGCTGCTTAGGGATTCTAGAAAAACTTGACCACATTAAACATTTAAGTAAGAGAATACCTAATTTGCTATTTTAATAGCTTCCAACTATTTAAATAGAAATCGGCACTAGACAGAGCTCTCAACAAAAGCTTGTTTCCCTTTCTTTTCTTTGGAGAAGAATGAGGTAACATACTTACTCATAAACTGTTCCGGGTTGATAACTCCAGTCTCTGTCAGCTGGCCCAGGACCTTAAAAAAACCTGAGTTTGAAAAACAGATTTCAAGTCACGAGGAGCAAAAAGCAGATGAAAAGAAGCAAGGTTAAGCTGGCAGGCAGCTACTTTCTCAAAACCTTCCATAATAAGTGATTATTTATTCATCACATAATAAACAATTATGCCAATCATTTGGGCATAAGATTTCTGAAACAGTGCCACACATTTATATCCAATATTTGCAGATCCAGAACTTAAACTTTTTAGTATAAGTTCAATGGAAGGGATAATTTGGTGTGTCTTAAGTGCCCAGAATCTTAATATGAGCATGTATAATATCTATAAACCAATGTAATATTAACACTTTTTACAGTCTTATCTGTAGAATACTTATCTAATTAATACTTACATTAAAATTAATGTCTTCAGATATTATACTAAAGAAAAAATTCACTTTGGTAATTACCAAAGTTTAAGAAAATTATTTTGGAGGGCCTACATGTTTTAATTGTGTGTGTGTGTATGTGTATAACACACATACAACCCTTGCATTGTATCCAAGGGAAATGATTTCTCCCCTCGTCTTGCATCTGGCTTCTTAGAGAAGGTCCTTCCCTGTGTGTTGTCATGCATGGTAATGTCATCTGTTTATTTTTTGACTGAATTAGGAAGCAGCAGTGCTGTATTTGACTTGCTTCACAGTAATATTTGGACTTAGCCATGACACACTGACAGTTGAACTGTCCCTGACATTTAAAAATTATAAACAAAATCAAAAGTCAGTAATACTTTTTCGTTGTCTCTCCAGGAACATTACTTTTTTTAAAGTTACTAACATTATAATGTTTATGGAGAAAATAAGAGGGCTAATTACAATCCTCATCAGGATGTGTAAGCAGGTAAGTCCATACCTCTGTTTAAGTCAGCCGTGCACAGAGGCCTCAGCACCAAGCCTTCTCCAGGATGTGTGGGAGAGATGGCTGGAGAAAACGTAGCCGTGTTCTGGCTCCAGTCCACCTCCCTGAGCAGACGAGGGTCAAACATGGGGGTTTCATCAGGTTTCATCGTTCCAGTTAGATCTATAATAAAATGTTAAATGTTAAGGCATTTCACCCAAGAAAACTACAGTGAGATTATTTTGTTAATATGAATGCCACTGGGAAAGATTCTTTTGCAAATATGTAAGCCATTCCACTTTAGCCTGTCAAATTCTACAGCTAGATACATAGAGAAACCAGGCTAGCTGTCAGAAACAAAATGTACTAAATAAGTGACTGACAAATTTAAGCTTTTAAACTCCATATTATTAGCAGGTTATCTTTAAAAAATTTATTTATTGGACAGATGCAGTTAGAGAGATAGGAGAGCCAGAGAAATTTTCCATCTGCTGGTTCACTCCCCAAATGGCTGTGATGGATTGGCCTCCCACAGGGATGGCAGGTAGAGTGCTCTGGTCAGCCCGAGCTGCTTTCCCAGGCACATGAGCAGGGAGCTGCCTCAGAAGTGGAGCAGCCCAGAGGAGAACTGGCATTCAAGGCGGTGCCCTTGTCACAGGCAGCGGGTTAACTCACTGAACAGTGCTGGTCCTGCTAGCCGCAAGAACTGGCCTGGCGTCACTGGAGTAGTGCCGAATAGCTTGACTGCTCCTGAGGTTCCAAATTTTTTACACTGCATGCTTGGATTTTTAAAATTGGACTAAGAATCGTTTATTAGTTTTGACACAAACTTACTGGTTATACAACTTTTTTTTCCTTCTACTATGAGGAGAAATAATTGATCACGTAGCTCAAATTGCTCTCTGCATTCCCAGTAATAGTTGACAGTAGCTACAACAGATACAAACCAAGAGTCTCTGGATTCTGCTTTTATAACAAATTTCTTGACTCAACCCAAGCAGTTTAAGGATAGCCAGTATTTGGTGCAAGGTGTCATTTGAAGTGCACACATAGGTTCAAGTCCAGGCCCTGTTTCCCTGCAGCTTTATGCTGGTGTGCACACTGGGAGGCATGAGGTGATGGCTCCAGCGCCCGGGGCTCTGCCAGCCACATGGGAGACCAGGCCTGAGCTCCAGCCTCCGGGCTTCAGTCCGGCCTGGCCTTGACTGCTGCCGGCATCTGGACGCTGAACCAGCAGATGGAAAGTCTCTGTCTCCTCTCTGTCCTTCAAATATAAAATAAAGAAAAGAACAATAACAATAGCCAGTGTCTTTCATACTTTTACAAAATGATCAATTATGGCATTTTCCATCATGTCTTTACAGGATACTTATGTGATAAATAAAGTGAACTCTCAACAGATGGTTCCATCCCCAAATGCCCACAATATCGACCCCTCCCCTAACGCCTCCACTCCCTGGAGCACACCAGGACTCAATCCTGGTCTCCCAGGCAGGTGATGGTGGCAGCTACTGCCACTGCCTGGCGAGGCCCATGCTGGCAGGAAGCTGCAGAAATGAGCTGGGGCCAACACTCAAGCCCAGGTCCTCCACAATGGACTCTTTACTGCTGGGCCGAACACCTGATTTCCCCCTGATTTGGACACTCAGAAATGGGTGTACTGCTCTAATAAAGTAAGATTCACATACGCTAGGAGGGATGAAGAAGTTTTACAAAGCATAAGCTGGACTGGCAGCACTGCTGTGAGTTCAGAGTTGTCAGAAGAAACAAGGTCTTCCTAATAATTAGACTAAAAGAGACTCCTACTTTCACTTCTATCTTATGCATGTGAAAAAATATTTCAGTGACAATAATTTTCCCAATAACTCCCAAATGTTCTCTATTTCACAAATCACAGTATGCTTTTAAAAAGCAAAAGCTGTCCATTTTAAAGGTGGATTGCATTTCTGCCTGTGTGACTACATAGGTACGGTGCAGTACAGCACAGGCTTTGGGAAGGCAGCATGGCTTCCTGCAGAAGTTACCACGTGTTCAGCGCTGGCTGTGTGTCCGGCGCTGATGAAACAACTTGACACGTTACTAATTCATTCACTTCACCCATTCATTCACTTCAGTAAGTGACAGCACAGGGGTGGTTATTATCATCGCAACTTCACAGAGGCACTGGGAATGCTAGGTGATTTACCAAGGCCACAGAACTCGCAGAGCTGGAATTTAAACCCAGGCAAGGAAAAAGCCTGAGTTTGGGAGGCTGGCTGTTCAAGTATCAACTCAATGAAATGAGAGAAGGTAATTCAGGTCTTAGACTCACTTATAAAAGGGAGATGACGTTTCTGGCAGAAGTAGGCGGTTAATGCCCGCAACACTGAAGGTGCTCACTAAGATGTAGTCTAGTTATCAATAAATACAAAAGTGGGGCCCGGCGCGGTGGCGCAAGTGGTTAAAGGTCCTCGCCTTGCACGCCCGGGATCCCATATGGGCGCCGGTTCTAATCCCGACAGCCCCGCTTCCCTTCCAGCTCCCTGCCTGTGGCCTGGGAAAGCAGTCGAGGATGGCCCAAAGCTTTGGGAACCTGCACCCGCGTGGGAGACCCGGAACAGGCTCCTGGCTTCGGATCGGCATAGCACCAGCCGTTGCGCTCACTTGGGGAGTGAATCATCGGATGGAAGATCTTCCTCTCTGTCTCTTCTCCTCTCTGTACATCCGCCTTTCCAATAAAAAAATAATAAAAATAAATCTTTGAAAAAAGAAAAATAAAAAAAAAAAAAGAAAGAACCACACACACACAGACACACACACAAACACAAAGAATGACAGGGTGTCTATTGTGTTTATGTTATACCAAAAGTTAGCATCCTTCGACAAATAAAAAAGTAGTTTTCAGATAAAACTATGCAATATACATTATATCTAGTTCTAAAAATAGTGAGAAAGGCTATAAGTTGTGATGATTAAAATAACCATTCATGTCAATTTAAACAAATTTGAAAGTTAAAGGGTTAATTTTGATGCATGCATTTCAGCGTGTGTCCCAGGTAACTGGACCCCTGAGGCTTCCGTGCATACTCTCCAGGGGGAGGTGGACAGCAGTGTTCTCTGGTACGTAATGTAAATGTCTGAAAATGTACACTACGTGCAGAAACATGAATGTATTAGAAAACTTAAGTATTTAGCATAATTTTAAGAGTGAAGCAAACTGTTAAATATGTAAATACTAAACAATACTTGGATGAATACTAACTAGCAAAGCTTAAAGGTCAATAGATTCCTTTTTCCTTTGTGGTTGCTTGAATTTAGAAAACGACACAGCCAGGTAATCAGATACAGCAGATGTTCTATGCATGCCGCTAAACAATAAATAAGGCTGGCTAGTATTTATTATTTTACATCTGTTAACTCTTTTTTAAAAAATTTTTTTTATTACAAAGTCAGATATACAGAGAGGAGGAAAGACAGGAAGATCTTCGTCCGATGATTCACTCCCCAAGTGAGCGCAACGGCTGGTATTGTGCCAATCCGAAGCCGGGATCCAGGAACCTCTTCCGGGTATCCCACATGGGTGCAGGGTCCCAAGGCTTTGGGCCGTCCTCGACTGCTTTCCCAGGCCACAAGCAGGGAGCTGGATGGGAAGTGGAGCTGCCGGGATTAGAACCAGTGCCCATATGGGATCCCGGCGCATTCAAGGTGAGGACTTTTAGCCGCTAGGCCACGCCGCCGGGCCCAACATCTGTTAACTCTTAAAAATGCACTGAAAGATGCACCATCGTTATCCCATATCACAGCCAAGGAAGCAGCAGTAACTTAAGAGGGAACAGAGTGAACATTCCAAACGTGACGAGGCCAGCTGATGCTAGACAGTGTGAAGGTCCCTTCCTTGGTTTAACACTCTGCTGCCACTGTCGTGAAATTTTCACTAATTAAAAAAAAAAATGTTTAAAGACTTATTGATTTGAAAGAGTTACAGGAAGGGAGACAGATTTTCTATCCAGTGGTTTGCTCCCCAAACAGCTGCAATGGTTGGGGCTGGGCCTAGCAAAAGCCAGGAGCTTCTACCAGGTTTCACACCGGAGGCCAAATGCTTGGGCCATCCTCCATTGGTTCCCCAGCCATGAGCAGGGAGCTGTGTTGGAAGGGGAACAGCAGCAGACTCAAACCTGCCTCTGTAAGGGATGCTGGCATTGCAGGCAGCGTTCCCTGCTACACCATAATGCTGCCCATGGAGCCCTGGACTGTAATTCTGAGTTACCCCACATCTACTGCCAGTGCCTGAGGCAGCTGGACTTCAGGTGCCACACTCCTATCTGAAGCTACATTCATGCAGATGTTGTGTACCAGATTAAACATTTAGTCAAGCAATACTTTGGAAAATGAAAATTTAACATTAGTCAAAATATATTTAAAAGAACATGCTGGTAGAAATCAGAATTCAGTGGCCAGGCAATGGAGAATTACTATAAAAACTTATGAACTGTATCACAAGGCCATGCTTACGGCTCACTTCGTCACTCCATCCTCAAACAGTAAACCTGCTGGTGGCCATGCCAGGCAAGCTGCAGCAAGATGCAATCTTAACATCAAAATCCAAGGATTTCAGAAAAGAGCCAAATCGGCAACAGGTTCGCAGAGGTACTTGCCTCCCAAGGTGCCTCCAGACAATGGCAAACGGAGCCAAATCTTGTTATCATTATCAACTAACTTAAATGTTTCTGATTATAAAAAGTAAATCTTAGGGCTGGTGCTGTGGCACTGTGGGTAAAACATCCCATGCAGGCCCTGCTTCCCATCCTGGCTGCTCTACTTCTGAGCCAGCTCCCTGATAAATGGTGTCTGGAAAAGCAATGGAGGATGGCCCAAAGCCTTGGGGTGCTACACCCAAGTGGGAGAAACTCCTGGCTTCAGATTGACCCAACTCAGGCTTTGTCGCCACTGGGAGTGAACCAACAGATGGAAGATCTTTCTCTCTGTCTCTGCTGTGTAAATCTGCCTTTCCAATAAAAATAAAATAAATCTTTAACTAATAAACAAAATCTTAAAAAGTAAACCTTAGCCCTCTTTATCCAAGAGCACTTTCCATTGCACTGAAATTGGCATGCTTTATAAGACCCATAAATGCCCAACCCTAAGCCAATAAAAGCCTAGTGAATGATTGATTAAAACTTACCTGGAGATCACATTTCAAAACCCCAATGAAGTTAGAATCCCAAACTGCCCCAAGTAATCCCATAGTATCACATAAGGTTTTTCACTCCGTTTTAGATATAATTTCAGCAAACTTGGTTTCCCAGTCTCTATAGCATGTTAGAATACAAACGCAGAAGACGCTACTAGGGAAAAAAGCCCATTGAGAGCAACAAGTAGGAAACACATGGAGAGTTTTTAAAGTCCACCTGCAAAATATTCAGACATAATCTACAGACAAGTTTACACTGCTCTATTATTTATGTTTTAGAGGCAGTGGCAGCACACAGGGCACGCGGCAGGAGGGGCTCAGCCTGAGGGTTATGTTAGGGTTGGTCTGTAACACATTTTCTTAACAACCTGACGTCATTCTGAACCCAAACAGTTCCTTCCCATTGACTGTAACAGGCCCTGCCATATTTATTCAATAGTGCCACTGCACGAATATCCTAAAGTACTTTCTTTCACAGTTAATCCTTGCAATCCAAATTGTCACTGCTGATTAGGATGGTGCAACACAGAGAGCTGAACAATACTTGCCCCCAAAGTTACAAAGGCGATGAATGGATCAGGACCAGAATCCTCGTTCGCCCCTTGAGGTCTACCACACCACACTCCACAGGGGTCAGTTTTTACACCATTATATGCTTTGTATCGGAGAGGTAGCTCAGCGAACCTTGCTTAAATAAACCCACGGGATTTCATTAGACCCACTCTAAGATTCGTTCAGGAACGGTTACCCCCCAACAAAACGAATCCCATCGTGGCTCATTCAATCTTGCACGACATATTTCATTCAGCTTACATAAAGGTCTGCTGTTGCGACAGGAGCCACAGCACTGGGTATTTCTAAGGCCAGAACCCCAGCAAGAGACAAAGGCTAGCCCTCCGTCCCCAGGGCCAGAGGCAACCTCCAGGGTGGACACAGGAGTGAGTGGCCAGTGGCTCCTGGCCACCGTGGGTGTGCCCCGGAGAGGATGGGCGAGGGGGTCCGAGGCACAGGCAAACGGGCCGATCCCGCACGCCAAAGCCTGGGAGCAAAGTCAGCCAGGACCCCCGGTAAGCACCCTTCACCTCCTCTCCAGGCGCCAGGTCCGTTCAACTTCCTCGCAGCCGCGCTCACCGGCCCGGCCCCGGGTGCAGCCAGGCGGCTCCGACAGAACCCGGCCGGAGCCTAGTCCGCCTCCCTCCGGGCAGCAGGCACCTGTTTGATGGCCCCTCGCGCCAAGGCCCACCAGACGTCGGCCCCGGCCCCTCCTCACCAGCGGACGCCCCGCGGTCGGCGCTCCTCTCCGGGCACAGCGGACTCTCACTCGCCGAAGAACGCTGTACCGGATCCGGATCCGGCTTTAGAGCCAGCCCCACCTCCTCCTCCGCCACCCGCGCCACGGCCGGGAAGCCCGGCCTCAACGTGGCAGGCGCCAACGCCTCCAGCCCGCCCCGGCCTCCTCACGCAGCGCGGCGCGCGTCGGGGCGCAGACGGAGGCGCGGGGGGCTCGCGGCGTGAGGGGCGGGACCGGGCGGGCCTTGGCTGCGTCAGCGCCCGGGGCGGAGCGGCCGGCGCCGGAAGGCTCAGCTCGCAGCGGCCCCGGTCACCCAGCCGCTGTGTCATCTCCGACGTCAGTGTGAGTCGGCCCGGCGGCGTGTAAGTGGTGACCGGCGCGGCCCGGTCCCTTGATGGAGGGCGCCTCCCCGGCCGCCCCTGAGCGCCACAGGTCTGGCTGCTGCGGTCGGGACCCCGGAATTGGGGGGACAGGCCTCGGTTCAGGCCCGGGGGTTCTCAGCTGCAGCGATCTTGCCGCCGGGGAGACATTTGTTGGTGAATGACTTGTCTGGGCACCCCTTTACTGGGCCCAGGAAACAAATCAGGAAACAGTGGTTGCGAGAGAGAGCCCGGTGACCAGGAGCTTGTGTCGTTTTACAGTTGTGAAGTTGTTAAGATGTCCTATGAATTTGTTTTAAATTGGAAAGGCAGATTTACAAAGAGGAGAAGCAGAAAGATCTCTCGGCTGGTTCGCTCCCCAAGTGGCCGCAATGGCGGGAGCTAAACCATTCTGAAGCCAGGAGCTTCTTGGTCTCCCACGCAGGTGCAGGGTCCCAAGGCTTTGGGCCGTCCTCCACTGCTTTCCCAGGCCTCAAGCAGGGAGCTGGAAGGGAAGTGGAGCTGCTGGGACACGAACCAGCACCCATATGGGATAACGGTGCTTGCAAGGTGAAGATTTTGGCCATTGAACCATTGTGCTCAGCAGAAGTATCCTGTTCTTAATTTTTATTTATTTGTTTGGAAGAGAGGTGCTAACTCCCATCCTCTGGTTCACTTCCTTTAAATGCTTTACTGCCAGGGTAGGTCCAGGCGGAAACCAGGAGCCAGGAACAGTCCAGGATGCAGGAACCCAGTGAAGGATCCTGTGTGTCAGGAGCCAGTTGCAAGTGTTGACCCAGACCATTCCAGCATGGGGTGTGCACATCTTAACCAGCACGCTAGCTACAACAGCCGCATTCCCTTTTAAAAATCTTTTGTTAAAAGTAATAAAAATCTTTTGTTTTTAAGAGGCAGAGAGAAGGCACTCCTTTCCCTTGGTTCATTAAAGACCAAGGCAAAAGCTTAGATGCGAGAAATTCAGTCCCGGTTTCCCATGTGGGTGTCAGAGATCCAGCTGGTCCGCCCACCGCCTGCCACCTGCCACCTGCAAGGGCTTCTGCTGGCAGGAAGCTGGCATCGGGAGTCGGGGCGGGGATAGAACTCGGGGATTGCAGTGTCGGACATACGAGGCTCAAGCACGAGGGTACACCCCTGTCCCAAGAAATATGTTCTTTTCAAAATCATAATAGGAGTTATAACATTAAAAAATAAGTATTTGGGCACAAAATCTTGTGATCCATGCAGGGTTTGGTAAAATGTACTTGCATGAACTTATTGTCAACTGCACATATACCTAGATTTTAACATTTTCTGCACCAAAATGTTTATCTCTTAATTCCGTTTTCCATTAACTTTTTTTTTCAAGTCTCCCTGTATGTTAGAAGATGAGAAATGTTCTAGTGCAAAATCAGAAAGGAAAAGGCTAGATAGTGTTGAGCTAGAGTTTTAATTAGGATGTCATAGAGGGCTTCTCTGAGGTGGCATTTTGGGTTACATTCTGGGAGATGTGCAGAAGTGAACTTTATAACTCTGTTGATAGTCCAAGGAAGGAAGACTGTGACTCTGGCTTGGAAATGCATGAAGGTATGTTTTACTTGCTTTGTACATATTTGGAAGTTATCATTAAAAAAAACCAAAAGTAGCTCTGATAAAATGCTAATATAGCTTTTATATCTGCATCTTAACAAAAAAGTTTGATAGATAGTCTCAATTTTCCCTCTCCAACTTAAAAAAAAAAAGATTTATTTATTTTTATTGGAAAGTCAGATATACAGAGAGGAGAAGAGACAGAGAGGAAGATCTTCTGTATGTTGACTCACTCCCCAAGTGGCCACAACATCTGGAGCTGTGCTGATCTCGGATCAGCCAGGCGCCTGGAGCCTCTTCCGGGTCTCCTACATGGGTGCAGGGTCCCAAGGCTTTGGACCATCCTTGACTGCTTTCCCAGGCCACAAGCAGGGAGCTGGATGGGAAGCCGGGCTGTTGGGTGCCAGAGTCCAGCTCCAGCTGAGTTCAGAACTCGAGAAGGGTGCATGGATGAGGCGTAAAGAGGAAAGAAAGATGGACCACTAGGATTTCATGATCATAATGGACCATGGGGGAAAGCTGTCCACTTTATTTATACAAAATCAGTCAAACTCTGGCTCAGACTTTTTACGTCAGGGTCAAGTTGGGAATTTCTAAGAATAATTCTGCCATAATTTTACCTAGAAACAATAGAAGTACTTGCTACAATTCTTATCCTACAACTCAATCTTGTATCACAAAGAAAAGGGGAATCTAAAGAATGAGGAAAGAATGAAAGCCTAAATCTAGATCCCTTGATTAGCATAGGCTCAATGGGGACAGCCAAGACAGTAGGAATAATAGAGGGCCCTTTTCTAAGACGCTACCTCCAAGCTCACACTGAGCAAAAGGCCAGCCTCACAGTAGCAAACAAATGCCTGCATGGATTAAAATGCTTCCGCAGGGTGGTCCGGTGTCCATGCAAAAGGTGGAGTTGCATTCAGGTGGTTGTAGAGACGTCTGCGGGGCGGGCCCTGCCAAACAGTGGGAAATTCCTTGCGGCCCTGCCTGCAATGGAACAACACTCTTCACCCCTTCATGTCCCCCACATCTATTGCACGGACCTGAACAGCTGGAATTAGAACTGGTACCCAAATGGGATCCCTGCACATGCAAGGTGAGGACTTAAGCTGCTAGGCTACCGCATGGGGCCCATCCAACTTTTTTTCAACTAACCTATTAAGACATTCTGTCTGTTTCTCCACATCCTCACTAATATTTGCTAAAGAGATTGCTTTTTCTCACTGTATGTTTGTTTTGTATATCCTAGTCTCACATCTATAATTATTACAAATCATGTCTTACCTTTTTTTATAATTCATTTTATTTATTTTTAATAATGATTACATGATTGATCAGGATGAGAAGGATTGAGGTTTACGGAAAATTGGGTGTCTTATCTTTTAAAAAATTATGTTTATTTATTTGAAAGACAGAATGGCAGGGAAAGAGAGGAGAGGAGAAATGAGAGAAGCTTCCATTCAGTGGTTCGTTTCCCAGTGGCCACAGTAGCCGTGACTGGTCCATTATAAAGCCAGGAACACGAAGCTGACAGGCTCCCAAGGCCGGCGCATCCTCTGCTGCCTTCCCCGGGCAGATTAGCAGGGAGCTGGATCGGAAGCAGAGCGTCGGGACTCAGAACCACGCCTTCTGCTCTAGGATGCCGTCATCATAGCTCGCAGCCCAACCTGTCCAACATTGGAACGGTGTCTTATTTCTCCCCCCCCGCCCTTTTCTATCATTTCTGTCGTTAAAGTAATTAACATACAGTCTAATAAATTATAGAAATTGTCAACTGAGAAGTAAAATTTAGTAATTACTTTATTAAATGCAGTATCACTCTCTAATAATTCTCATAGCAGTCTGCTTTGTGAGGAACATAAAGCGGGGAAACGCATTGTGGCACAGTGGGTTTATCCCTCACCTGAAACATAGGCATCGCATCTGCTCGAGTTCTAGCTGTTCTGGCTCTGATTCAGCTCCGTGCTAATGTGTCTGGGAAAACATGGAAGATGGCCCAAATGCTTGGGTCCCTGCTCCATGCGGGAGACCTGGATGAAGCTCCTGGCTCTTGGTTACAACCTGGCCCAGTTCTGGCCGTTGTGGCTATTTGGGAAGTGAACTAGTGGATGAGAGCGCTCTCTCTCTCTCTCTCTCTCTCTCTCTCTCTTTTGGGATGCCTTTGTTTTTACAATGCCTCCTCTCAAATAAATAAATCTTTTAAAAAAGGAATATTGTTCCTCTCTTCTACCCTGTCCACCTCCTTTATCTTCTCCTCTCCCTCCTCTTCTCTCATCTTTCACATCAATAAATATTTTTTTAAAAGGAAAGTGAAAAGGAAAAGGTTGCCTGTAAGATGTTATCTCCACAAGCAGTTTAAAATTTTTGAGCATTAAAAATTTATTCAAAACATTTTAGATTTTTTTTCAAGTAATTGGGCAAATGTACAATTTGAATAGGAATCTTTCTTAGTCATGTATTTGCAATTTTTTTTTTGCTTGAAATATCTGTGTTTTTAAGTTATTTGATTTCCGTTGCCTTAGAAATAAACTACAGTGTATAAACATTTTGAATAAGTTGTTTCTTCAGTTGGCCAAGAGATTCCACAGTTAGGTGATTACAATGGAAGCAAAAAGTGACATCAGCCCAGTGAGCGTGCTGTCTCCGAATCCTGTCTGGCTAAGGATCAGGTCACTCCCAGACTCCAGTGCCTGGAGATCACTCACTCAGAACCACCCAGTTTTAAAGGGAAACGGTGATGGGCTGGCCAAGTGCTGGGCAAGAATGCTCATCAGAGACATATTTGTCAGTGTTGGTCACACAACTAGGACAGGATACTGCCGGGAAAATGCGTGCCATTGCCAGGAAGCTACACCGGAAGGGCTGTGGTAGGAGGAAAGGGAGTTAGGAACAGGGGGAGAGTTGTACTTGTCTGGCATCAGTAACTTAGACACTGGGCCTTCGTGCTAACTGGGATTCACTCTAAATCTGTGTTGGAAGCAACTTTGTTGCTTTACAGAAAGGATTGCCGCATCCTGCTCAGCTCCAGTTGGGAACTTTGTTAGGATTGGGAACATTTTTAACTTTTCAGTATCAGACTCTGTTCACGGGCTTTGTCCAGTCATGGCCAGTTTGGGAATAATGGCCATCACTCAGGACCAGA